TTATTTTTGGGGGTTTCTGGGGTGTTTCGGGGTTATTTAAGTTATTTTGGGCTATTTTACTAATGAAGATTTGAGTGATTATTTTGGGGGTTTCATGGGGTTGGGGCTATTTTAGGGTTATTTTTGGGTCATTTTGGGGTTATTTTGAGTGATTATTTTTGGGGGTTTCTGGGGGTGTTTTTGGGGTTATTTTGGGGTTATTTTTGGGGTTATTTTGGGTCATTTTGGGGTTATTTTGAGTGGTTATTTTGGGGGGTTTTTGGGGGGTTTCTGGGGGTGGTTTTGGGGTATTTTTGGGGTCATTTTGGGGTTATTTTGAGTGGTTATTTTGGGGAGTTTCTGGGGGGGTTTTGGGGTATTTTGGGGTTATTTTGGGGTTATTTTGGGTGGTTATTTTTGGGCTCCTCACCTGAGCATCCTGTCGGGCCCCCCCAGGTCCCAGCGGGCCCCCCTGGATTTGGGGAGGGGTCTCTGGGGGTTATTTTGGGGCATTTTGGGGTTATTTCAGGATAATTTGGGGTTATTTTGGGTTATTTTGGGGTTATTTTGAGTGGTTATTTTTGGGGGGTTTCTGGGGGTGTTTTGGGGGTATTTTTTAGTTATTTTCGGGGCTATTTTGGGGTTGTTTTTGGGGTCCTCACCTGAGCATCCTGTCGGGCCCCCCCAGGTCCCAGCGGGCCCCCCTGGATTTGGGGAGGGGTCTCTGGGGGTGATTTTGGGGTATTTTGGGGTTATTTGGGGCTATTTTGGGGTTATTTTGGGTCATTTGGGGGATATTTTGGGTGGGTATTTTGGGGGGTTTTTTTTGGGTTATTTGGGGCTATTTTTGGGTTATTTTGGGTTATTTTGGGGTTATTTTTGGGGTCCTCACCTGAGCATCCTGTCGGGCCCCCCCAGGTCCCAGCGGACCCCCCGGATTTGGAGGGAGAGGCGGAGCCGCCCCCTCCTCCCCTCCCCTCCCGGGGCTCCCCAGGGCCAGGCTGAGCCGGGCCAGGTCAGGGGACCCCCGGACCCCAGGGGGCGGAGACCCTCCCAAATCCCAGCCTCGGGGCCTGCAGAGAGAAAAGGAAGGGGGTCAAAAGGGTGGGCTGGGGGATTTTGGGGGCTCAAAGGGGAATTTGGGGGGGATTTGGGGTGATATTTGGGGTTTTTTGGGTCGATTTTTGGGGGTTTTTTGGGCGATTTTGGGGTTTTTGGGGCGATTTTTGGGTATTTCTTGGGGAGATTTTTGGGTATTTTTAGGGCGATTTTGGAGTTTTTGGGGTGATTTTTGGAGTTTTTGGGGTGATTTTGGGGATTTTGGGGCGATTTTTGGGAAATTTTGGGGAGCAATTTTTGGGTTTTTTTGGGTTTTTTGGGGTCTTTTGGGTCGATTTTGGGGATTTTAGGGCGATTTTTGGGGGTTTTGGGGGTGATTTTGGGGATTTTTGGGTGATTTTGGGGGGTTTTGGGGACGATTTTGGGGATTTTGGGGGCAATTTTGGGGCAATTTTTAGGCGATTTTGGGGATTTTGGGGACGATTTTGGGGTTTTTGGAGCGATTTTAGGCGATTATTTTGGGTGTTTTGGGGTTTTTGGGGCGATTTTTGGGGTTTTTAAGCGATTTTGGGGATTTTGGGGCAATTTTGGGGCGATTTTGGGGTTTCTTAGGGCGATTTTTGGGGATTTTTTGGGGCGATTTTTGGGGCGATTTTTGGGGCGATTTTTGGTTTTTTGGGGCGATTTTTTGGTTTTTTGGGGCAATTTTGGGTGATTTTTTGGGGTTTTGGTGTGATTTTTTTGGGGAGGGGTCTCACCATGTGGGGGTCCCACTTCTCCCCCGGCCCCAGCAGCACCAGGGGGTGTGGGGAGGGCCCCAAAACTCCTCGTCCTCCACGGGGTCCCGCCCTGGGCCACGACCACGACCACGGGGGGCAGAGACAGAGCAGCTTCCGCCTGGGGGTTTGGGGGATTTGGGGGAAAAAAGGGAATTTGGGGGATTTGGGGGTTTAGGGGGAAAAAGGGAATTTGGGGGGATTTAGGGGTTTGGGGGATTTGGGGAGGTTTAGGGGGAAATAAATGGAATTAAAGGGAATTTGAGGGGGACTTGGGGGTTTTAGGGGGATTTAGGGGAAATAAAGGGAATTTGGGGGAAATAAAGGGAATTTGAGGGATTTGGGGGTTTAGAGGGGATTTGGGGGTTGGGGGATTTGGGGGTTTAGGGGATTTGGGGGATTTGGGGCGTTGGGGAGATTTGGGGGATTTGGGGGTTTGGGGGCTTTAGGGGATTTGGGGGATTTGGGGATTTGGGGGGATTTGGGGGAAATAAAGGAATTAAAGGGAATTTGGGGAGAATTGGGGTGGATTTTGGGGTCCTGGGTGGATTTTGGGGTCCTGAGTTAATTTGGGGTTGATTTGGGGGTCCCAGGTTAATTTGGGGTGGATTTTGGGGTCCTGGGTGGATTTGGGATCCCAGGTTAATTTTGGGGGTCCCAGGTTAATTTGAGGTGGATTTTGGGGTCCTGGGTGGATTTTGGGGTCCTAGGTTAATTTGGGTTGATTTTGGGGTCCTGGGTGGATTTGGGGTCCCGGGTGGATTTTGGGGTCCTAGGTTAATTTTAGGTTAATTTTGGGGTCCTAGGGTGGATTTTGGGGTCCCCCTCACCTGCTCCCGCAGCTCCCCAAAGTGGCCGCCAGGACCCCTTGGGCCTCGCCCTCCCCACGCGTGACCCAAAAGGGCCGGGCAGGGGGTCGGGGGGTGGGGGAGGGCGGCCCAAACCCACCGGGACACCGCCCTAAAGGGGGAGGGGAGGGGCGACACTCGGGGGCCCGGCGTGAAAGACCCCCCAAAAATCACCCCAAAAATCACCCCAATCTACCCAAATCCACCCAAAATCCACCCAAAATCCACCCAAATCCACCTGAAATTCACTCAAAATCCACCCCAAATCCCCCCAAATCCACCCAAATCCACCCAAAATTCACACAAAGAGCCCCAAATCTACGCCAATCCACCCCAAATCCACCCAAATCTCCACAAAGACCCCCGAAATTCACCCAAATCCACCCAAAATCCACCCAAAATCCACTCGAAATCCACCTAAATCTAAACAAATCCACCCCAAATCCACCCAAAGACCCCCAAATCCCCCCAAAATTCACTCAAATCCACACAAAGAGCTCCCAAATCCACCCAAATGCACCCAAAGACCCCCAACCCCCTGACCCCCCAAAATCCTCCCCAGGAGCCCCAAACTCCCCTCAAATCCCCCCAAAATCCCCTCAAAACCCTCCTGGACCCCCTGCCCTTCCCCCAAACCCCTCAAAGACCCCCTGGGACCCCAAAATCCCCCAAATCCCCCCAAAATCTCCCTTGGGACCCCCAAATTCTCCCCTGGGACCCCAAAATCCCCCAGGACCCCCCAAACCCCCTCAAAATTCCCAAAATCCCCTCCAGGACCCCCAAAATCCCCTCAAAACCCTCCCTGGACCCCCAACCTTCCCCCCAAACCCCTCAAAGAACCCCCAGGACCTCCAAAATCCCCCAAACCCCCAAAATCCCCCCGGTACCGCAGCGTTTCCATCGCGGGAGGGGCAAAGTCCGAAGGTCCCGAGTGACGTCACCGAGGGGGGAGGGGAGGGGAAAAGGGCACCCCAAAAACACCCGGGACCCCCAAAATGAACCCCAAATACTCCTGGGACCCCCCAAATTAACCCAAAATGCACCTGGGACCCCCAAATTAACCCCAAATACAGCTGGGACCCCCAAAATACTCCTGGGACCCCCCAAAATGAACCCAGGACCCCCCAAATTATCCCCAAAATGCACCTGAGACCCCCAAAATTCATCAGGGACCCCAAAAATTAACCCAAAATCCTCCTGAGACCCCTAAAATGCACCTGGGACCCCCCAAAATGCACCTGGGACTCCCCAAATTAACCCCAAAATACTCCTGGGACCCCCAAAATACTCCTGGGACCCCCAAAATACTCCTGGGATCCCCAAATTAACCCCAAAATGCACCTGGGACCCCCCAAAATTCATCAGGGACCCCAAAAATAAACCCGGGACCCCCAAAATTCATCAGGGACCCCCAAATGAACCCCAAAATACTCCTGGGACTCCCCTTTTGGGGGGTAAAACTCGCTTTTTCAGGCCGTTTTTTGGCCCCAAATTCCTCCTTTTTTTGGCCCCAAATTCCACTTTTTTTGGCCCCAAATTCCTCCTTTTTGGCCCCAAATTCCCCCTTTTTTTTGGCCCCAAATTCCTCCTTTTTGGCCCCAAATTCTCCTTTTTTGGCCCCAAATTCCACTTTTTTGGCCCCTAAATTCCTCCTTTTTGGGGCCCAATTCCCCCTTTTTTTTGGCCCCAAATTCCTCCTTTTTTTGGGCCCAAATTCCTCCTTTTTTTGGGCCCAAATTCCCCTTTTTTAGGCCCAAATTCCCCCTTTTTTTTGGCCCCAAATTCTTCCTTTTTTTGGCCCCAAATTCCCCTTTTTTTGACCCCAAATTCCCCCTTTGGCCCCAAATTCCTCCTTTTTTTTGGTCCCAAATTCCTCCCTTTTTTTATCCTCAAATTCCCCCCTTTTTTTGGCCACAAATTCCTCCTTTCTTGGGGACCCAAATTCCTCCTTTTTTTGGGCCCAATTTCCCCCTTTTTTTGGCCCCAAATTCCCCTTTTTTTGACCCCAAATTCCCCCTTTTTGGGGCCCAAATTCCCCCTTTTTTTGGTCCCAAATTCCCTCTTTTTTGGTCCCAAATTTTCCCTTTTTGCACCCAAAACTTTTCCCTTTTTGGTTCCAAATTTTTCCCTTTTTGGACCCAAAACTTTTCCCTTTTGGCCCAAAACCGCCTCTTTTTGTTTCCAAAATTCCTTTTCTGTCCCAAAATTTCCTTTTCGGTCCCAAAATTTCCATTTTTTTGGGTTCAAACCGCCCCTTTTTAATATTTTTCAAAGTTCTACTTCCGGACTACAAATACCACCATCCCTTGCGCCTCAAGCCCCGCCCCTTCCGCTCACAGGCTTTAAATAGCCCCTCCTTTTCCGGTCACGTGTCCACGTGGGCGCCGCCATGTTCCTGAACTGCTACACGAACGAGCGCGGGGAGCGCGTTTATACCTTAAAGGTGCCCAATTTGGGCCAAAAAAGGGCGATTTTGGGGTTTTTTGGGGGGGTTTTGGGGGTTTGAGGGGATTTGTGGGGGTTTGAGTGGATTTGGGGCTTTGGGTGGGATTTGGGGGTTTGGGTGGGATTTGGGGGTAAAAGGGGATTTGGGGGGTTTGGGGGTTTTTGGGGTCTTTGGGGGATTTTGGGGTTATTTGGGGTTTTTGGGGCATTTTGGGGTCAGGATTCTGAGGTGGATTGGGGGGAATTTGGGGTTCTTGACCCCCCTTTTTTTACCCCCCCCCAGGGGGTATTTTGGGTCCATTTTGGGGGTGATTTTGGGGTCGTTTGGGGCCATTTTGGGGTCGGGATTTTTGGGGGAGTTTTAGGGGGATTTGGGGGTTATTTTGGTTCATTTTGGGGCCATTTTTGGGGGGTATTTTGGGGTCATTTGGGGCCTTTTTTGGGTCGGGATTTGGGGGGTTTTGGGGGTATTTTAGGGAGTATTTTAGGGTTGTTTTGGGGAGTATTTTGGGGTTATTTTGGTCCATTTTTGGGGTATTTTGGGGTCGTTTGGGGCCATTTTGGGGTCCATTTTTAGGAGGTTTTTGGGTCTATTTTGGGGTTATTTTGGTCCATTTTGGGGGGATTTGGGGGTCGGGATTTTGGGGGGTTTTTGGGGGAGTTTTCGGGGTATTTTGGGGTCTATTTTGGGGAGATTTTGGGGTTATTTTGGTCCATTTTTGGGGGGATTTTGGGGTTATTTTGGTCCATTTTTGGGGTTATTTTGGTCCATTTTGAGGGGATTTTGGGGTCGTTTGGGGCCATTTTGGGGTCGGGATTTCTCGAGCTTTTTTTTGGGGTATTTTAGGAATATTTTGGGCTTCCTGACCCCTTTTTTTTCCCTTTTTTTCCCCCCCAGAAGGTGTCCCCGGGGGGTCTCCCCACCTTCTCCGCCCACCCCGCCCGGTTCTCCCCCGATGACAAATTCTCCCGGCACCGCCTGGCCCTGAAGCGGCGCTTTGGGGTCCTCCCCACCCAGAAGGGACGGACCCCGCTCTGAGGGGACCCCCAAAAATGCCCCCCGAGCCGCAGAGGGGGAAGAGGGGGCGGAAAAAGACCCGAAATGGAGGAAAATGGAGCGAAAATGACCCAAAATGACCCAAAATTGAGGAAATATGACCCAAAGTGGAGTAAAATGGAGCGAAAATGACCCAAAATGGAGAAAAATGGAGGGAAAATGGAAGAAAAATGACCCAAAATGGAGGAAAATGACCCAAAATGGAGGAAAATGGAGTGAAAATGACTCAAAATGGAGCAAAAATGACCCAAAATGGAGGAAAAATGACCCAAAATGGAGGAAAAATGACCCAAAATGGAGAAAAATGGAGCGAAAATGACCCAAAATGCAGGAAAATGGAGGAAAAATGACCCAAAATGGAGAGAAAATGACCCAAAATGGAGCAAAAATGGAGGAAAAACGACCCAAAATGGAGCAAAAATGACCCAAAATGACCCGAAATGGAGCAAAAATGACTCAAAATGGAGGAAAAATGGAGCGAAAATGACCCAAAATGACCCAAAATGGAGGAAAAATGACCCAAAATGGAGGAAAATGACCCAAAATGGAACAAAAATGACCCAAAACGGAGTGAAATAAACGTTTTTTTGACCCAAAATGGAGCAAAAATGACTGAAAATGAAGCGAAAATGACCCAAAATGGAGGAAAAATTACACAAAATGGAGGAAAATGGAGCGAAAATGACCCAAAATGGAGGAAAAATGACCCGAATTTGAGTAAAAATGCCCCAAAATGACCCGAAATGGAGGAAAATAAACGTTTTATTGACCCAAAAGGGAGTGAAATGAATCAAAATGGGGCAAAATGGAAACCGAAATGGGGAGGGGAAGGGGATGAAATGACCCCAAAAAAAATGAGCAAAAATGATCCCCAAATGGGGCAAAATAAAAAGCGAAATGGGGGGAAAAGACCGAAAAATGGGGCAAAATGACCCAAAAATGGGGCAAAACGAGCCCAAAATGGGACAAAATTAAAGGTGAAAAGGGGGAAAACGACCCCAAGTGGGGCAAAATGAGCCAAAAGTGGAAAAATAACCCCAAAAGTGCCCCAAAAATGGGAGAAAATTGGGAATAAAAAGTGACCCCTCCCGTCTCTATGGTTCCCCGCGCGGTGCATTGTGGGCCGGTGGCGGCCCCCGCTGAGACCTCCGGGGCTCTCCCAGTAACTCCCAGTAACTCCCAGTTGCTTCCAGTGACCCCCAGTAACTCCCAGTGAACCTCCCAACGACCCCCCCAGCCAGGCGGGGCAAAAATGACCCGAAACTGAGCGAAAATGACCCAAAACAGAGCAAAAAAACCCAACCCGGAAGTGCCGTCTCTATGATCCCTCCCCTCGCGCGCGGTGCATTGTGGGCCGGTGGCGGTCCCCGGCCGAGACCTCCGGGGCTCTCCCAGTCGCTCCCAGTAACTCCCAGTTGCTCCCAGTGAACCCGTAACGATCCCTCCAGCCAGGCGGGGCAAAAATGACCCGAAACGGAGCGAAAATGACCCAAAACAGAGCAAAAAAAAGGACCCAAAACGGAGCGAAAAAACCCAACCCGGAAGTGCCGTCTCTATGATCCCTCCCCTCGCGCGCGGTGCATTGTGGGCCGGTGGCGGCCCCCGCCGAGACCTCCGGGGCTCTCCCAGTCGCTCCCAGTAACTCCCAGTTGCTCCCAGTAGCCCCCCCCGATGCGGGCCGTGTACCTGCTGCGCTCGGGGCACCCGCGGGGCCGCGGCCGGGCCTACGTGGGGTTCACGGTGGAGCCGCGGCGGCGCCTCCGGCAGCACAACGGGGGCAGGAGGAGGGGGGGGGCCCGGAGGACCAGCGGGGGGGGGCCCTGGTGGGTGCTTGGGGGATTTTGGGGGTCCTGAGGGGGTTTGGGGGCTTTGAGGGGATTTGGAGGGGTTTGACCAGCGGGGGGTCCTGGTGGTGCTTGGGGGATTTTGAGGGGTTTGGGGGTCCTGAGGGGGTTTGGGGGATTTGGAGGGGTTGACCAGCGGGGGCCCTGGTGGGTGCTTGGGGGATTTTGGGGGTTTGGGGGTCCTGAGGGGGCTTGGGGGATTTGGAGGGGTTTGACCAGCAGGGGGTCCTGGTGGTGCTTGGGGGATTTTGGGGGTTTGGGGGTCCTGAGGGGGTTTGGGGGATTTGGAGGGGTTTGACCAGCGGGGGGCCTGTGGGTGCTTGGGGGATTTTGGGGGGTTTGGGGGTCCTGAGGGGATTTGGGGGTTTGGAGAGGTTTGACCAGCGGGGGCCCTGGTGGGTGCTTGGGGGATTTTGGGGGTTTGGGGGTCCTGAGGGGTTTGGGGGATTTGAGGGGGTTTGACCAGCGGGGGTCCTGGTGGGTGCTTGGGGGATTTGGGGGTCCTGAGGGGATTTGGGGGGCTCTGAGGGGGATTTGGAGGGGTTTGACCAGCGGGGGGTCCTGGTGGGTGCTTGGGGGATTTTGGGGGGTTTGGGGGTCCTGAGGGGGTTTGGGGGATTTGGAGGGGTTTGACCAGCGGGGGTCCTGGTGGTGCTTGGGGGATTTTGGGGGGTTTGGGGGTCCTGAGGGGTTTGGGGGATTTGGAGGGGTTTGACCAGCGGGGGGCCTGGTGGTGCTTGGGGGATTTTGGGGGTTTGGGGCGTCCTGAGGGGGTTTGAGGGAGATTTGGGAAATTTGGAGGATTTGGGGGATTGGGGGGATTTTGGGGGTTTGAGGGCATTTGGGGGTTGACCAGCGGGGGTCCTGGTGGGTGCTTGGGAGGGATTTTGGGGGTTTGGGGGTCTGAGGGGTCCTGAGGGTGATTTGGAGAGGTGGGGGTTGAGGGGTTTGGGGGTTTGGGGGTCTGGAGAGGATTTGGGGGATTTTGGGGGTCCTGAGGGGGATTTGGGGGGTCCTGAGAGGGGAATTTGGGGGTTTGGGGGGATTTAGGAGGGGTCTGAGAGGGTTTGGGGGATTTTGGGGGATCCTGAGGGGTTTGGGGTGTTTGGAGGATTTGAGGGGCCTTTGAGGGGATTTCGGGGTTTGGGGATTTGAGGGGTTTGGGGGGTTTGACCAGGCATGGGGGGCCCTGAGGGGTGTTTGGGGGATTTGGGGGTCCTGAGGGGTCTGGGGGAGTTAGGGGGATTTGGGGGATCTTGGGGAGGGTTTTGGGGGGATTTGAGGGGGATTTTGAGGGTTTGGGGGGTCTTGAGGGATTTTGGGGGTCCTGAGGGGGATTTGGGGTTAAGAGGGGATTTGAGGTGGATTTGGGGGTCCTGAGGGGTTTTTGGGGGATTTGAGGGGGTGTGAGGAAGATTTTGGGTGTCCTGGGGAATTTTGGGGGTGTGAGAGGGGATTTGGGGGTTGGGGGGGTCCTGAGGGGGATTTTTGGGGGGATTGTGTGAGGTGAGAGGCGCCCACCCCGATGACGTCACGATGACGTCACGATGACGTCATAACCCCCAGGGAGATGGAGCTCTTCGTCCACGGCTTCCCCTCGGACGTGGCGGCTCTCAGGGTAAGGCCACGCCCCCTTTTTGGCCCTAGCCACGCCCCCTTTTGGCTTTAAGCCACGCCCACCACACACCACGCCCAGTTTAAGCCACGCCCGCTACGGACCACACCTTATTTAAGCCACACCCATCATGGACCACACCCGATTTAAGCCACGCCCACCACGAACCACACCCAATTTAAACCACACCCATCACAAACCACACCCAAATTAAGCCACGCCCACCACAAACCACACCCTATTTAAGCCACACCCACTACAAACCATGCCTTATTTAAGCCATGCCCACCACAAACCACACCCAATTCAAACCACACCCAATTCAAGCCACACCCAATTTAAGCCACGCCCACTACGACCCACGCCCTATTTAAGCCACACCCACCACGACCCACACCCGATTTAAGCCACACCCATGAACCACACCTGATTTAAGCCACGCCCACCATGAACCACACCCGATTTAAGCCACGCCCACCATGAGCCACGCCCGATTTAAGCCACGCCCACCATGAACCACACCTGATTTAAGCCACGCCCACCACGAACCACACCCTTTTAAGCCACGCCCACCACAAGCCACACCCTAATTAAACCACACCCACAATGAAAACACACCCTAATTAAGCCACGCCCCCCCCACAGACCATGCCCGATTTAAGTCCCGCCCACCAGGAACCACGCCTGATTCGAACCACGCCCACCACGCCCCACCCCAATTAAGCCACGCCCACAACGCTTGTTTTAAGCCACGCCCACCACAAACCACGCCCACCACACAAACTGCCCACTTAAGCCCCGCCCACTACAAACCACATCTACTTAAGCCACGCCCACCACAAGCCACGCCCAATTTAAGCCACGCCCTCTCTAAGCCTCCCCCTCTCCAAGCCACGCCCCTTTCGAGCCCCGCCCTCCCTAAACCACGCCCACCACCTCCTTCCCCCTCCCCCCAGTTCGAGTGGGCGTGGCAACACCCCTCCTCCTGCCGCCGCCTGCCGGCCCCGCCCACCCGCCGGCCCCGCGAGCAGCCAATCAGCTTCGCCCTCCGGACCTTGCCCCGCCTCCTGCGGGCCCCGCCCTGGTCCCGCCTCCCCCTGCGCCTGCGCTGGCTCCGCCCCGGGCCACGCCCACCCCTGGAGCCGGCCCCGCCCCCTCACGTGGTGGTGGAGGAGGGGGTGGGGCTTCCACTGATGAGAAAAAAGGGGCGTGGCCGAGGGAAGGACACACCCACTCATCAAGAGGAGGAGGCTCCGCCCACCAAAAGTTGTGACCTGTGCGGGGAGGTAACAAAAAAGGGGGCGGGGCTTGGGGGGAGGGGCTTAAAGGATGAGGGTGGGACCCGAATTGGAAATGGGCGGAGCCTCAGAAAGGGGGCGTGGCCTCAACAGAGGGGCAGGGCTTGGGAGTGGCTTTTGGGGTGGTTCCTTGGGTGGGCGTGGCCTCACAGAAAGGGGGCAGAGTCTGTGTGGCTTTGGGGGTGGTTCTTTGGGGTGGGCGTGGCCTCAACAAAGGGGGCGGGCCTGGGTGTGGCTTTGGGGGTTGTTCCTTTGGTGGGTGTGGCCTAAAATCGGGGCGAGGCCTGGGTGTGGCTTTTTTTTGGGTGGTTCTTCGGGGTGGGCGTGGCCTCCCAATGGGCGTGTCCAATTTGCATAAATTTGCATCCACTAATGGGAAATGGGGGGCGAAGGGGAGGGGTCAGACCCTCCCCACTCCTCCCATAAGTGGGCCCCGCCCCCTCTTTGTCCCCTCCAGGCTTTGGCCACGCCCCCTCTGCGCTGTCCCCGCCCCCCCTGCGCCATGGCCGCCCATCCCCCCTGCCTGGCCCGGCTGTTCCTGCGCCCGGAGCCGCAGCAGCTCCTCCCCCTGGGGGGCACCTGCCCCAGGTGAGGCCTGGGGGGTGGGGCTTCACCCTCGGGGGGTGTGGTTTGATCCTAAGGGGGCGTGATTTGATCTTAAGGGGCGTGGTTTGATCCTGGGGGGCGTGGTTTAATCCTAAGGGGGCGTGACTTGATCTTAAGGGGCGTGGTTTGATCCTAGGGGGGCATGGCTTAACCCTAAAGGGGCGTGGTTTGATCCTAAGGGGGCGTGGTTTAATCCTAAGGGGGCGTGATTTGATCTTAAGGGGCGTGGTTTGATCCTGGGGGGCGTGGCTTGACCCTAAAGAGGCGTGGTTTGATCCTAAGGGGGCATGGTTTGATCCTGGGGGGGCGTGGTTTGCTCTGAAGAGGGCGTGGTTTGATCCTAAGGGGGCGTGGCTTGATCTAAAGAGGGCGTGGTTTGATCCTAGGGGGCATGGTTTGATCCTGGGGGGGCGTGGTTTGCTCTGAAGAGGGCGTGGTTTGATCCTAAGGGGGCGTGGCTTGATCTAAAGAGGGCGTGGTTTGATCTTAGGGGGCGTGGTTTGATCCTAAGGGGGTGTGGTTTGATCCTAAGGGGGCGTGGTTTGATCCTAGGGGGGTGTGGCTTGACCCTAAAGGGGTGTGGTTTGATCCCAAGTGGGTGTTGTTTGATTCTAAGGGGGCGTGGTTTGATCCTAGGAGGCGTGGCTTGACCGTAAAGGGGCGTGGTTAGATCTTAAGAGGCGTGGCTTGACCCTCAAGGGGTGTGATTTGATCATAAGAGGGCGTGGCTTGATCCTAAAGGGGCGTGGTTTAATCCTAAGGGGGTTGGGCTTGATCTTAAGGGGCGTGGTTTGATCCTAAATGGGGCGTGGTTTAGTCCTAAGGGGGCGTGGCTTGATCTGAAGGGGGCATGTCCTCACTCTGGCCACGCCCCTTTCTTCTCCAGGTGCCACACCCACCTGCTCTGGGGCGATCTGATTGGTCGGAGCCGGGGGGAGCGCCACGAGTGGGCGGAGCCCGATGACGTCACCCCACCAAGCTCCGCCCCCACGTGACCACGCCCACCGCCAACATCACGTGACCACCCAACGGGCGTGGCCTTTTTAAAACATTTTTAATAAAAATTAATTTATTGACAATTAAACCGAAAGGGGGCGTGGCCTCAGCAAGGCCCCGCCCCCACAAAAGCCACACCCTTTGTTTTTTCCCTCCCCCCCCCAAATTTTTGGGGTCTCCCTTCACTTAAAACCCCTCCCTCTTATTTTTTGGGGGGTCCCCCCCCTTTTTAGGCCACTCCCCCTTTTTTTAGACCACTCCCCTTTTTAAGCCACTCCCCTTTTTAAGCCACTCCCCTTTTTAGGCCATCCTTTTTTCCCTCCCCCCACCCCCTCAATTTTGGGGTTCCCCCCCAAACTTACCTCCACTTAACCCCTCCCCCATTAAACTTTTGGGGTCCCCATTCCCTTAAACCCCCCAAAATTTTTGAGGTCCCCTTTTAAATTTTGGGATTTTTACTCCCTCCCCAAATTTTTAACCCCTCCAAACCCCAATTTTTACCCCCCATTTTCCCCTCCCCACCTAACTTTTTGGGGGGTCCCCCTTCCCCCAAAATTTTTGGGGGTCTCCCCTTTAATTTCAGGGCTGTTCCCCCAATTTTACCCCCAAAACTCCCTTTTTCTCCCCCATTTTCCCCCCTTTCCCTCCCATTTTCCCCTCCCCCTGTAATATTTTTGGGGTCCCCCTTCCCCCAAAATTCTTGGGGGTGTTCCCCGAGGTTTTGGGGGTCTCCCTTTTAATTTCAGGGCTGTTCCCCCCAAATTTAACCCCCCACAAACCCCAATTTACCCCCCAAACCACCCCCTTTCCCCTTCCCCTTGGAACATTTTCGGTCTCCCCTCGTCCCAAATTTTTGGGGGTGGATTTTTTTGGGGGTTCCCCTCCCCCCACCACTTAAATTTTGGGGTTGTCCCCCCAAATTTACCCCCCACAAACCCCAATTTACTCCCCCATTTCCCTCTTTCCTCCATTTACCTCCATACATAACATTTTCGGTCTCCCTTCACCCCAAATTTTTGGGGGCGGGTTTTTGGGGTTCCTCCCCTACCACTTAAATTTTGGGGATTGTCCCTCCAAATTTACTCCCCCCACAAACCCTTAATTTAGCCCCCAAAACTCCTTTTTCCCCTCTTTTCCTCTCCCAACTCCCAATTCCCCCCTCCCCACAAAACTTTTTTGGGGGTCCCCCTCCCCATAATTTTTAGGGGATATTTTTGGGGTGTTCTTCAGTATTTTGGGGGGTCTCCCCTTTAATTTCAGGGCTGTTCCTCAATCCACTTCTCACAAACCCCACTTAACCCCATTATACCTCTACTTTTCTCCCTTCTACCCCCACACGAACATTTTTCGGTCTCCTCACCCCAAATTTTGGGGGCGGATTTTTTTGGGGTTCCCCTCCCCCACCACTTAAATTTTGGGGTTGTCCCCCCAAATTTACCCCCCACAAACCCCAATTTACCCCCACAAACCTCATTTACCCCTCATTTCCTCCATTTCACCCCCATACAGAACATTTTCGGTCTCCCCTCACCCCAAATTTTTGGGGCAGGTTTTTTAGGGTTCCCCTCCCTCACCACTGAAATTTTGGGGTTGTCCTCCAAATTTACCCCCACAAACCCCAATTTACCTCCATTTCCCCATTTTCCCTCCATTTACCCCCCATACAGAACATTTTCGGTCTCCCTTCATCCCAAATTTTTGGGGTGGATTTTTGGGGTTCCCTCCCCACCACTTAAATTTTGGGATTGTCCTCCAAATTTACCCCCACAAACCTCAATTTAGCCCCAAAACTCCTTTTTCCCCCCTCTTTTCCTCTCCCAACTCCCAATTCCCCCTCCCCACAAAACTTTTTGGGGGTCCCCTCCCATAATTTTTAGGGATATTTTTGGGGTGTTCTTCAGTATTTTGGGGTCTCCCTTTAATTTCAGGGCTGTTCCCCCAAATTCACCCCTCACAAACTCCAATTTACCTCCCTTTTCCCATTTTCCCCTCCATTTACCCCCCATACATAACATTTTCGGTCTCCCCTCGCCCCAAATTTTTGGGGGCGGATTTTTTCGGGGTTCTCCCCCCCAGGTTTTGGGGTACCCTTTTTTGGGGCGTTTTCACTTCTTTTTGGTCTCCTTGCAGGCCACCACGTAGCGCTGGGCCACGTTGAGGGGGGGGGAGTAACCGTCGGCGTACGAGGTGTCCTCGAACAGCACCGAGTAATCGTCCTGGGGCTGGGGGACAGGAATTTGGGGGTCCTGAGGGGGTTTGGGGGTCCTTGGGGGTTTGAAGGGGACCAGGGGGTTTGAAGGGAATTTGGGGGTTTGAAGGATTTGGGGGGTTTGAGGGGGATCTGAGGGGTCCCTGAGGGAGCTTGGGGGTCCTTGGGGATTTGAAGTGGATTTGGGGTCCCTGAGGGGTTTTGGGGGTTCTTGAGGGGTTTGGGGTCCTTGAAGGGTTTCAAGGGATCTGGGGGTTTAGGGGTCCTTGAAGGGGTTTGGGGGTCCTTGGGGTGTTTGAAGTGGACCTGGGGGTTTGAAGGGGATGTGGGGTTTGAAGGGGATTTAGGGGTCCCTGAGGGGTTTGGGGGTCCTTGGGGGTTTGAAGGAATCTGGGGGGTTAGGGGGTCCTTGAGGGGGTTTGGGGGTTCTTGGGAGGTTTGAAGGGATTTAGGGGTTTGAAGGGGATCTGAGGGGTCCCTGAGGGGCTTGGGGGTCCTTGGGGGTTTGAAGGGGATCTGGGGGTTTGAAGGGGATTTAGGGGTCCCTGAGGGGGTTTTGGGGGTTCTTGAGGGGTTTGGGGGTCCTTGAAGGGTTTCAAGGGGATCTGGGGGGTTAGGGGTCCTTGAGGGGGTTTGGGGGTCCTTGGGGGTTTGAAGGGAATTTGGGGGTTTGAAGAGGATCTGAGGGGTCCCTGAGGGGTTTGGGGGTCCTTGGGGGTTTGAAGGGAATCTGGGGGGTTTGAAGTGGAATTGAGGGGGGGGTTGAAGTGGATTTGGGGATCCTGAGGGGACCCCTATGGTGGATTGAGGGGTTTTGGGGGATTCTTGAGGGAATTTGGGGGTCCTGAGGGGTTTGGGGGTCCTTGAAGGGTTTGAAGGGGATCTGGGGGTTTGGAGTGGATTTGGGGGGTCCCTGAGGGGGTTTTGGGGGGTTCTTGAGCGGATTTGGGGGGTCCCCTGAGGGGATTTAGGGGGTCGTCCTGGGGCTGGGGGGTGGCACCAATTTGGGGGGGGCGATGAGGATTTTTGGGTGGATTCAGGGGGTTTTTGGGTGCTGATGGAAGAGGAGGAAAGGGCTGATTTTTGGGTGGAATTGGGGAGTTTTTGGGTGCTGATTGAGCGAGAAAAAAAGACTAATTTTTGGGTGGAATTAAGAGATTTTTGGGTGCTCATAGGGCTGATTTTTGGGTAGAATTGGAAGGGTTTTGGGTGCCCATGAGAGAGTGATGATGACGGTGATTTTTGCCTGGATTTGGGGGATTTTTGGGTGCTGATAGGGGTGATGATGACAATGATTTTTGGGTGGAATTGGGGTGTTTTTGGGGTTTTGGGGCTCACCCTCTGCAGGGGGGCGTGGATGAGGGCCCTGTAGCAGCAGGTGGTCTGTGGGCACAGGGGGGTGTTTGGGTGATGATTTTTGGGTGGAATTTGGGGTTTTTTTGTGTGAATTTTGGGGATTTTTGTGTGGATTTTGGGTGTTTTCAGGTGCCGACGATTTTGGGGTGAATTGGGGGGGTTTTGGGGCTCACCCTCTGGGGGGGGGCGTGGATGAGGGCCCTGTAGGAGCAGGGGGCTGTGGGTACAGGGGAGTGTCTGGTTGATGATTTTTGGTGGATTTGGGGGATTTTTGGGGTGGATTTTGGGGATTTTTGGATGCCGACGATTTTGGGGTGAATTGGGGGGGTTTTGGGGCTCACCCTCTGCGGGGGGGTGTGGATGAGGGCCCTGTAGAAGCAGGGAGCTTTTGGGCACAGAGAGCTGTTTGGGTGATGATTATGATGATTTTTGGGCAGATTTTGGGGGGTTTTTTTGTGGATTTGGGGATTTTCGGGTGCCGACGATTTTGGGGTGAATTCCAGGGATTTTGGGGCTCACCCTCTGCGGGGGGGGCGTGGATGAGGGCCCTGTAGAAGCAGGGGGGCTGTGGGCACAGGGGGGTGTTTGGGTGATGATTTTTGGTGGATTTGGGGGATTTTTGGGGTGGATTTTGGGGATTTTTGGATGTTTTCGGGTGTTGATGATTTTGGGGTGAATTGGGGGGATTTTGGGGCTCACCCTCTGCTGGGGGGCGTGGATGAGGGCCCTGTAGCAGCAGGTGGTCTGTGGGCACAGGGGGGTGTCTGGTTGATGATTTTTGGTGGATTTGGGGGATTTTTGGGGTGGATTTTGGGTGGTTTTGGGTGCCGACGATTTTGGGGTGAATTGGGGGGGTTTTGGGGCTCACCCTCTGCGGGGGGGGTGTGGATGAGGGCCCTGTAGAAGCAGGGAGCTTTTGGGCACAGAGAGCTGTTTGGGTGATGATTATGATGATTTTTGGGTGGAATTTGGGGGTTTTTTGTGTGGATTTTGGGTGTTTTCGGGTGCCGACGATTTTGGGGCGAATTCCAGGGATTTTGGGGCTCACCCTCTGCGGGGGGGCGTGGATGAGGGCCCTGTAGAAGCAGGGGGGCTGTGGGCACAGGGGGGTGTTTGGGTGATGATTTTTGAGCGGATTTTGGGGGGGTTTTGGTGTGGATTTGGGGATTTTTGGATGTTTTCGGGTGTTGATGATTTTGGGGTGAATTCCGGGAATTTTGGGGCTCACCCTCTGCGGGGGGGCGTGGATGAGGGCCCTGTAGAAGCAGGTGGTCTGTGGGTAGAGGGCCAGCACCAGCTGGTCCTTGTGGAACAGGGCCTCGGGGTCGGTCTCGGGGTTGGTTTTCCACTGGGGCAGGGGGATGATCCGGCGCCGGCTCAGCGTGTGGCGCCTGCGGATTTTGGGGGAAAAGGGGAAAAAGACACCCTGGTTAGTGGGGAGGGTGGGGGAGGGTGGGAGAAGGTTTGGGGGAAAAAGGGGATTTGGGGGATTGGAGGGTTGGAGAGAGGTTTGGGGGATTTGAGGGGGTTGGGAAGGATTTGGGAGGATTTTAGGGAGATTTTGGGGATATTGGGGAGGGTTTGGGGGATTTTGGGGAGTTTGGGAGGGGTTGAGTGATTTTGGGGGAGTTTGGGGGTTGGAGAGATTCAGGGGGATTTGGGGGGGTTGGGGAGGGGTTTGGGGGATTTTGGGGAGTTTGGGAGGTTGGAGTGATTTTGGGGAGTTTGGGGGTTGGAGAGATTTGGGGGATTTGGGGGGTTGGGGAGGGGTTTGGGGGATTTTGGGGAGATTTGGGAGGGTTGGAGTGATTTTGGGGGAGTTTGGGGAGGGTGGAGAGATTTAGGGGGATTTGGGGGGCTTGGGAGGGTTTGGGGATTTTGGGGAGATTTGGGAGGGTTGGAGTGATTTGGGGAGTTTGGGGGGTTGGAGAGATTTAGGGGGATTTGGGGGTTGGGAGGGGTTTGGGGGATTTTGGGGAGATTTGGGAGGGGTTGGAGTGATTTTGGGGAGTTTGGGGGTGGAGAGATTCAGGGGGATTTGGGGGGTTGGGGAGGGTTTGGGGGATTTTGGGGAGATTTGGGAGGGGTTGGAGTGATTTTGGGGAGTTTGGGGGGTTGGAGAGATTTAGGGGGATTTGGGGGTTGGGGAGGGGTTTGTGGGATTTTGGGGAGTTTGGGAGGGTTGGAGTGATTTAGGGGGTTTGGGGGGTTGGGAGGATTTTGGGGAGATTGGGGAGGGGTTTGGGGATTTTGGGGATTTTGGGGATATTGGGGAGGGTTTGGGGGATTTTAGGGGCGTTTTGGGGGTTGGGGAGGGGTTTGGGGGGAACTGAGGGGTTGGGGAGAGGTTTTTGGGTGATTTGGGGGGCTTAGGGGATTTGGGGGATTTTGGGGGTTGGGGATATTTTGGGGTGGATTTGGGGGTGTTAGGTGGGGTTGGAGAGGGGTTTTGGGGAGTGAAGGAAAGAACAGACACCCCTGGTTAGTGGGGAGGGGTGGGGGAAAGTTGGGAAGGGGTTTGGGGGGTTGGAGTGATTTAGGGGGAGAAGGGGGGATTTTGGGAGGGGTTGAAGACGGGTGTGGGGTATTTTGGGGTGATTTGAGGGGGTTTGGGGGTGATTTGGGGTGATTTTAGGGTGATTTGGGGGATTTTGGAGGGGTTGAAGATGGGTGTGGGGTATTTTGGGGTGATTTGAGGGGTTTGGGGGTGATTTGGGGTGATTTTAGGGTGATTTGGGGTTTTAGGGGATTTGAAGGGTTGAAAATGGGTGTGGGGTATTTTGGGGTGATTTGAGGGCGTTAGGGGTGATTTGGGGTGATTTTAGGTGAATTGGGGGATTTTGGAGGGTTGAAGATGGGTGTGGGGTATTTTGGGGTGATTAGAGGGGTTTGGGGGTGATTTGGGGTGATTTTAAGGTGATTGGGGGATTTTGGAGGGTTGAAGATGGGTGTGGGGTATTTTGGGGTGATTAGAGGGGGTTTGGGGGTGATTTGGGGTGATTTTAGGGTGATTTGGGGGGATTTTGGAGGGGTTGAAGATGGGTGTGGGGTATTTTGGGGTGATTAGAGGGGGTTTGGGGGTGATTTGGGGTGATTTTAGGGTGATTTGGGGGGATTTTGGAGGGGTTGAAGATGGGTGTGGGGTATTTCAGGGTGATTTGAGGGGGTTTGGGGGTGATTTGGGGTGATTTTAGGGTGATTTGGGGGGATTTTGGAGGGTTGAAGATGGGTGTGGGGTATTTTGGGGTGATTTGAGGGGGTTTGGGGGTGATTTGGGGTGGTTTTAGGGTGATTTGGGGGGATTTTGGAGGGGTTGAAGATGGGTGTGGGGTATTTTGGGGTGATTAGAGGGGGTTTGGGGGTGATTTGGGGTGATTTTAGGGTGATTTGTGGGGATTTTGGAGGGTTGAAGATGGGTTTGGGGTATTTTGGGGTGATTAGAGGGGGTTTGGGGGTGATTTGGGAGTGATTTTAGGTGATTTGGGGGGTTTTGGGGGATTTGGGAGGGGTTGAAGATGGGTGTGGGGTATTTTGGGGTGATTTGAGGGGGTTTGGGGGTGATTTGGGGTGATTTTAGGGTGATTTGGGGGGTTTTGGGGGGATTTGGGAGGGGTTGAAGATGGGTGTGGGGTATTTTGGGGTGATTTGAGGGCGTTTGGGGGTGATTTGGGGTGATTTTAGGGTGAATTGGGGGGATTTTGGAGGGGTTGAAGATGGGTGTGGGGTATTTTGGGGTGATTAGAGGGGGTTTAGGGGTGATTTAGAAGTTTTTGGGGGTGATTTTGGGGCGATTTGGGGGGATTTTGGGTCACTCACTCTTTGCCTTCCTCGTCGATGTCATCAACTTCGTACCTGAAAGAGCCACAAGGGGGCGCTAAAGAGGCCGCCGGGGAGGCGTGGCCTGAGCACTGGTGGGCGGAGCTTGGTGTGAAATGGGCGTGGCCAAAGGGGGGGTGTGGCCTAAACCCCAGGAGGGACGTTTCGGGATTTCAGGCTGAGATTTGGGGTAAAAAAAGTGGATTTTGGTGGTTTCAGGTGGGATCCCCCCCTCCCCCCCATAAAAAGTGGGTGTGGTCTAAACCCACAAAGGTGTGATGTAATGCCAAGTGGGCGTGGCTTAACCCAAGTAGGTGGAGTTTAACCCGCCCAAAATGACTCCACCCCCAAGTGGGCATGACCTAAAAAAAAAGTGGGCGTGGTCTGACCACAAGTGGGCGTGGCTTAACCCAAATAAACATGACATCACCCCTGAAGTGGGTGTGGCCTAATACCAAGTAGGGCGTGTCCTAACCCCCAAGTGGGTGTGTCCTAACCCCAAGTGGCTGTGACCTAATCTCAAGTGGGCGTGGCTTAAACCCAAGTGGACAAGGCCTAATCCCAAGTGGGTGTGGCCTAATTTGAAGTAGGCATGGCCTAAATAAAGTGGGTGTGGCTTAACACCAAATGGGTGTGTCTTAACCCCAAGTGGGTGTGACCTAATCTCAAGTGGGCGTGGTTTAAACCCAAGTGGGCAAGGCCTAATGCCAAGTGGGTGTGGCCTATCTCAAGTAGGTGTGGCCTAATCCCAAGGAGGTGTGGCCTAACCCCAAGTGGGAGGGGTCTGCTGCAAAGTGGGCGTGTCCTAACCCCAAGTGGGCGTGGCTTAACCCCAAATGCACAAGGCCTAATCCCAAGTGGGTGTGGCCTCATCCCAAGTGGGTGTGACCTAATCTGAAGTGGGTGTGCCCTAACCCCAAGTGGGTGTGGCCTAACCCCAAGTGGGCGTGGCTTAACCCAAGCAGGTGTAGTTTAGCCCAAATAAACCTGACTCCACCCCCAAGTGGGTGTGTCCTAACCCCAAGTGGGTGTGTCCTAACCCCCAAGTGGACAAGGCCTGACCAAAAGTGGGCGTGGCTTAACCCAAATAAACACCATGACTTCACCCCCAAAGTGGGTGTGGCCTAACCCCAGCTGGGCGTGGCTTAACCCAAATAAACACTGTGACTCCACCCCCAAAGTGGGCGTGTCCTAACCCCAGCTGGGCGTGGCTTAACCCAAATAAACACCACTTCACCCCTAAAGTGGGTGTGGCCTAACCCCAAATGGGCGTGGCTTAACCCAAATAACCACCACTTCACCCCTAAAGTGGGTGTGGCCTAACCCCAACTGGGCGTGGCTTAACCCAAATAAACACTGTGACTCCACCCCCAAGTGGGCGTGTCCTAACCCCAAGTAGGCATGGCTTAACCCAAATAAACACCATGACTCCACCCCCAAAGTGGGTGTGTCCTAACCCCAAATGGGCGTGGCTTAACCCAAATAACCACCACTTCACCCCCAAAAGTGGGCGCGGGCCTGACCCAACTGGGCGGGCTTAGCCCCAAATAAGCGCTGCGAGCTCCACCCCCAAGTGGGCGTGTCCTAACCCCAACTGGGCGTGGCATAACCCAAATAAACACCACGACTCCACCCCCAAAGTGGGTGTGTCCTAACCCCAAATGGGCGTGGCTTAACCCAAATAAAAACCATGACTCCACCCCCAAGTGGGTGTGTCCTAACCCCCAAGTGGGCATGGCCTGACCAAAAGTGGGCGTGGCTTAACCCAAATAAACACTGTGACTCCACCCCCAAGTGGGTGTGTCCTAACCCCCAAGTGGACAAGGCCCTGACCAAAAAGTGAGCGTGGCTTTGCAGCGCAAATAATCCACCACTCACCCCGAAGTGGGCGGGGCCTAACCCCAACTGGGCGTGGGCTTGGCCCAAATAAACATCCATGACTCCACCCCCAAGTGGGTGTGTCCTAACCCCAGCTGGGCGAACGGCTAACCCAACATGCCACCACTTCACCCTAGAAGTGGGTGTGGCTCAACCCAACTGGGCGTAGCTTATTCCCAAATATACCATAGCTACCAAGTGGGTGTGGCCTGACACAACTAGGCGTAAGCCTTTAAATAACTCCCTTCACCCTAAGTGGTGTGGCTGCCCAACTGGCGTAAACAGCCCAAATATACCACTTCACCCCCAAAGTGGGCGTGGCCTAACCCCAACTGGGCGTGGCTTAACCCAAATAACCACCACTTCACCCCTAAAGTGGGTGTGTCCTAACCCCAGCTGGGCGTGGCTTAACCCAAATAACCACCACTTCACCCCTAAAGTGGGTGTGGCCTAACCCCAACTGGGCGTGGCTTAACCCAAATAACCACCACTTCACCCTAAGTGGGTGTGGCTAACACAACCAGGCGTAAGCCCTAAATAACCACCACTTCACCCCCAAGTGGGCGTGTCCTAACCCCAGCTGGGCGTGGCTTAACCCAAATAAACACCACGACTCCACCCCCAAGTGGGCGTGTCCTAAACCCTCCCCCCCCCAAAAAAAGTGGGCGTGGCCACCGACTCACTTGTTGGCGGCGTGGCTGTAGCTCACCACCTCGGCCAGGATCCACTGCTCGTCCCCCTCCAGCGCCTTCACCCGCGCCGCCACCTTGTCCCCCGGCTTGGCCACGTAGTCCCCGGCCGCCGGCACCGCCCCGCACAGCGGGGGGGGCCTGGGGAGAGACCCCGCACCCCAAAACCCCCGCTTTTACCTCAAAATCCCCTCGACTTCCCCCAAAAATGTCTATTTTTTGGGGCCCGGAAATTGCTCGTTTTCACCCAAAAATCACTTTTTTTCTTCTCCCAGATTGGTCATTTGCACCCAGAAATTGTTCATTTTAACCCAAAAAGCCCCCCAGTTTTACCCCAAAAAAATCTCCTGTTTTGCCCCAAAAAACGTTCATTTTTTTGGTGTTAAAAATCAGTTGTTTTCTCCCCAAAATCACTCTTTTCTTCTCCCAGATCGGTCATTTCCGCCCTTAAATTGCTCATTCTAACCCAAAAAAACCCAGTTTTACCTCAAAATCCCCTCGACTTGCCCAAAAAAATGTCTATTTTTTGGGGCCCGGAAATTGCTCGTTTTTACCCAAGAATCACATTTTTGTTATCCAAGATGGGGAGTTCAGACCCCAAAACTGCTCGTTTTAACCCAAAAACTTCCCAGTTTTACCCCCAAAATTCTTTGGTTTACCCAAAAAAAGTTCATTTTTTGGGGCCTGAAAATTGGTTGTTTTCTCCCCAAAATCACCCTTTTTCTTCTCCCAGATCGGTCATTTAGACCCTAAAATTACTCATTTTAACCCCAAAATTCTCCAGTTTTACCCCGAAATCCCCCCGGTTTGCCCAAAAAAATGTCTATTTTTTGGGGCCCGGAAATTGCTCGTTTTCACCCAAAAATCACTTTTTTTCTTCTCCCAGATTGGTCATTTGCACCCAGAAACTGCTCATTTTAACCCAAAAAGCCCCCCAGTTTTACCCCAAAAAAATCTCCTGATTTGCCCAAAAATGTCTACTTTTTGAGTCCCAAAAATTGGTGATTTTTACCCAAATTTGGACCCAAATCCCTCTTTTTCCCTCACTTTTCTCCGGGTTTGCCGATCCACAGGGGCAGGGTCATGGCCGATGCTGCAGCAGCATCATCAGCACCCCCAAAAACTCCCTTTTTCCCCCCCAAAACCGCCCTCTATCCCTCCTACTCCCCCTTTATGGACCCAATTCCTCCTTTATGGACCCAAATCCCTCTTTTTCCCTCACTTTTCTCCGGGTTTGCTGATCCACAGGGGCAGGGTCATGGCCGACTGCTGCAGCAGCATCATCAGCAAGCCCAAACCCCCTTTTCCCCCTCAAATCCCTCTATTTGTCCCCAAATCCCCCTTTATCTCCATAAATCCCCCTTTATCCCAATAAACGTCTTTTATTCCCCCCTTTTTCCCTCACTTTTCTCCGGGTTTGCCGATCCACAGGGGCAGGGTCATGGCCGACTGCTGCAGCAGCGTCATCAGCACCCCCCTCCTCATGGTCTTCCTGGGCGGCTCTGCCTCGCTGTAGATCCCGGCGATCTTGGCCGCTGGGGAGAAGGAGGGAAAAGCCCGGCATTCCGATGGAATTCCCATGGAATTCGGGTGGAATTCGGGTGGAATTGGAAGGGTTTTGGTTAAAGCGGAGCCTTTTCCCGCCTTTTTTTCGCCGTGAGGGGAAGCTCTTTGGCGCCCCCTGGCGGCCGTACCGATGCGCCGCTCCTCCAGCAGCGATTTGATCTCGGCGATCTTATCCAGGGCCCGCCGCAAAATGCTGGGGGAGAAAAGGCAAAAAACGGGAAAAAACGGGAAAAATGAGGAGTTTTGGGAGAGCGGGGGGTGGGGAGGAAGGGATTTTGGGGGGGAAGAAGGGGGGTTTGTGGGGGAAAATGGGGGATTTGAGGGGGGAAAAGGGGGTGGATTGAGGGGAAATGAGGGGTAAAAGGAGGGGTTTATTGGGGATTTGAGGGGAAAAAGTTGGAATTTGGGGTTAAAATGTGGATTTAGGGGAGTAAAAAGGGGGATTTGGGGGAGAAAAAAGGGTTTTGGGGAGAAAAAAAGGGGGTTGGGGGAGAAAAAAAGGGGGTTGGTGGGAGAGAATGGGGGATTTGAGGGGGAAAGGGGTGGATTGAGGGAAATGAGGGGGTAAAGGAGGGGGCTTGTGGGATTTGAGGGAAAAAAGTTGGAGTTTGGGGGGTTAAAATGGGGATTTGGGGAACAGAAAGGGGGAAAAAAGGGGATTTGGGAGGGGGAAAAAAAGGGGTTTAGGGAGGAAAAGGGGGTTTGGGGGAAAAGGGAGATTTGAGGGGGGAAGGAGTGGAGATGAGGGGAAATGCGGGATAAGAGAGGATAAAAGGAGGGTTTGTGGAGATAAAAAGGGGAATTTGAGGGGAAAAAGTTGGAATTTGGGGTTAAAATGGGGAATTTGGGGGGAAAAGGGGGGGTTTGTGGGGAAAAAAGGGGGTTTGGGGAAAGTAGAGGGGATTTGATGGGGGGAAAAGGGGGCAGATTGAGGGAGAAATGTGGGATAAAAGGAGGGGAGTGTGGGGATAAAAAGAGGAATTTGAGGAGAAAAACTTGAAATAAAGTTGCAACAGAAATTCCAAGGGAGTGAAATGTGGATTTCATGGTGAGAAAAATGGATTTTGGGGTGAGAAGAGCGGATTTTGGGGCGGGAAAATCGGATTTTGGGGTGGAAAAAGTGAATTTCGGGATGGAAAAAGCATATTTCGAGATGGGAAAGGGGGATTGCAGGGTGGAAAAGGTGAATTTTGGGGTGGGAAATCTGGATTTTGGGGTGGAAAAAGTATATTTTGGGGTGGAAAAATGGATTTTGGGGTGCAAAAAGTGAATTTCGGGGTGGAAAAAGCAGATTTTGAGATGGGGAAAAAAAGGATTGCAGGGTGGAAAAGGTGGATTTTGGGGTGGGAAAAGTGGATTTTGAGGTGGGAAAAGCAGATTTTGGGGTGGAAAAGGTGAATTTTGTGATGGAAAAAGTAGATTTTGGGGTGGGAAAAACGGATTTTGAGGTGGGAAAAGTATATTTTGGGGTGGAAAAGGCGGATTTCAGTGTGAGAAAACTGCATTTTGGGGTAGAAAAAGTAGATTTTGGGGTGAGAAAAGCAGAGTTGGGGGTGGAAAAGGGGGATTTTGAGGTGGGAAATCTGGATTTTGGGGTGGAAAAGGCGGCTTTTGGGGTGGAAAACTGGATTTTGGGGTGGAAAAGGCAGTTTTTGGGACTCACTTGCACTCGGCCTCGGCGTCGGCCTTGGCCGTGGTGTAGAGCCCCCGGAGCTTGGTGCGGTAATAGGGGGAGACTGGGGGGGTCCTGGGGAGTCAGGGGGGTCCCCAAACCCCCTCAAAACCCCCCCAAAATCTCCCAAAATCCCCTGAATTTACTTTTGTTCTCGGTCTGCATCCGCTCGTGCGTCTTCTGGATGTTCACCAGGTTGTGCTCGCTGCGGGAGCGCTCCTCCTGACGGCAAAAAACAGGGATTTTGGGGAGAAAAAGGGGGATTTGGGGGAAAAAAAGGGGGATTTGAGGGGATTTGGGGAGAGAAAGGGGGATTTGGGGGGTTTTGGGGAGAAAAAGGAGATTTGGGGTAAAAGGAATTGAGGGGATTTGGGGGAGAAAGGGGGATTTGGGGAGAGAAAAGGAGTTCAGGGTAAAAAAAAAAGGGAATCGGGGGATTTGGGGGATAAAGGGAGGGTTTTGGGGAGAAAAAGGGAGATTTAGGGTAAAAAAAAAGGGAATCGGGGGATTTGGGGGGATAAAGGAGGGTTTTGGGGAGAAAAAAGGGGTATTTGGGAGGTAAAGGGGGGATTTGGGGAAAGAAAGGGAGGTTTGGGGAGAAAAGGGGGGAATTCAGGGGATTGGGGGGAGAAAAGGGGGCATTTGAGGGGGTTTGGGGAGATAAAGGGGGAATTTGAGGGGATTTGGGAGAAAAGGGAATTTGGGGGAGAAAGGGGGATTTGGGAAAAAAAGGGGATTTAGGAGGGGATTCATGGAGAAAAGAGAGAATTTTGGGGGATTTAAGGGGAGAAAGAGAGGATTAGAGGAAAGGGGGATTTGGTGAGAGAGAGAGAATTTGGGGGGGGATTTGGGGAAAAGGGGAATTTGGGGAGAAAATGGGGATTTGGGGAGAAAGGGGGGATTTGGGGAGAAAAAGGGGGGATTTGGGGGGGAAAGGGGGATTTGGGAGGAGAAAGGGGGATTTGGGGAAAGAAAGGGGGGATTTGGGGGGAGAAATAAATATAACAGAAAAAGAAAGGGACTGTGAGGGGGAAATTGGGGTCATTAGAGGGGAAAATGGGTGGCCTGTGAAGGGAAATTTAAGGTTTTGAGGGGGAAAAGGGGGTTCATGACAAGGAATAGGGGATCTCGATGAGAAACTGGGAGTTGTGAGGGAAAAGAGAAGGTTCATGAGAAGGAATTGAGGATCCTGAGGGGAAACTGGGAGTTTTCAGGGGGAAATGGGGGGTTCATGAGGAGGAATGGGGGGCATCCCCATAAGAAACTGTCAGTTGTGAGGGGAAATGGGGGAGGAGGGGGTGGGGGTCCATGAGGGGGACACGGAGGGGGTCGTGAGGGAACCTCCCCCAAAGAAACAACAAAACCACAAAACCCACAAACAAATCTCCCCCCCAAAAAAACCCTCTACCTGCGTCTGCTTGATGAGCTGGTGCAGCTCCCCGAGCAGCTCCGCGATGCGGGAATCGGCCGAAACGAGCGCCATGACGGGAGAAATAATGGGGGGGCACAAAATGGCGGCGCCTCCTGAGGGAACCCGGGAAGGAGGGGGGGGGTGCAAAATGGCGGCGCCTCCTGAGGGGGAGGCCACGCCCACAAAGGTCAAACCACGCCCCTTTTATTCCTTATATGGATAAACCACACGAAGCCACGCCCACCGCGCCTTCCTATTGGTGGATTCTCGTTTTCCTGCCATCCTATTGGTTGGTATTTTCGGACGTTGTTTCCTATTGGGCGGGGAAGGTGGGGGGGTGGTCATGTGACCGGCGAGTCACGTGACGGGCGCGAAGATGGCGGAGGAGGAGCCGCTGTTGCCGCCGGGTGAGACCCAAAATGACCCAAAACTGACCCAAAATGACCCAAAAACTGACCCAGAACTGACAGGGGAGGGACCCGGGACTGACCCAAACCCCGCTCCTAAAATTGAACCGGGAGAGACCGAGAGGGACGTGAAACTGACCCAGAAATGACCCGGGAGGGACCCAAAATGACCCAAAACTGACCCAAAAGTGACTCAAAATGACCCAAAACTTACCCAAAAAGTGACCCGGAAGTGTCCCAAAACCGACCCTGAAATCACCCAAAACTGACCCAAAATGGGCCAAAACCGACCCAAAATCAACCAGACTTGACCCAAAACTGACCCCGAAATGACCTGAAATGACCCAAAATGCACCAGAATTGACCCAAAATGACCCCAAACTGCCTCAAAATGACTCAAGAATGACCCAAACTGACCCAGAACTGCCCCAAAATGACTCAAAAATGACCCAAAACTGACTCTTAAATGACTTGAAATGACCCAGAATTGACCTAAAATGACCCAAAATGACCCCTCCCCTCCCCCAGCCAGAGGCCCCCGGAGCCTCCAGAGCCCCAAATTCCCACTGGAGGGATGGAGTCGCTTTTGGTGAGTGACGACCCCAAAACACCCCAAAACACCCTAAAAACACCCCAGGGACCCTAAAACATCCCCCAGACCCCAAAATATCCCCCAGACCCCAAAATATCCCCCAGACACTAAACTCACCCCTAGGGACCCCAAAACCACCCCAGACCCCAAAAATACCCCAAAGACCCCAAAATATCCCCAGACCCCAAAAACACCCCCAAGGACCCCCAAAACCCCCAGACCCCAAAATATCCCCCAGACCCCAAAATATCCCCAAAAACTCCCCAGGGACCCCAAAATATCTCCCAGACCCCAAAACACCCCAGGGACCCCAAATATCCCCAAAAACACCCCCAGGGACCCAAAACACCCCAAGGACCCCAAAAGCCCCCCACCCAGACCCCAAAAATCCCTCCAGACCCCAAAACACCCCAGGGGACCCCAAATATCCCCAAAAACACCCCAGGGACCCCAAAACCCCCACCCAGACCCCAAAATATCCCTCCAGACCCCAAAATCCCCCTGTTCCCCCTTTTTCCCTTCCCCCATTTGGTGACCACGCCCATTAAGCCCCGCCCCTTTCCCCGCCGTGGCTCCGCCCCCCTGAGCTCGCTGGCGCCCCCCGCAGGCTGCTGGGGCTGTGCAACAACCTGCCCTACGTGCTGATGCTCAGCGGGGCCCGCGACATCCTCGACCCCCACCGGGGGGCGCCGGTGAGTCACAAACCACGCCCCCTTTGGCGCTGGCCACGCCCCCTTTGGTACTGACCACACCCCCTTTGGTGTTGGCCACGCCCCCTTGGTCCTTGGGCCACACCCCTTTGGCGTTGGCCACACCCCCTTTGTTATTGACCACACGCCTTTGGCATTGACCACACCTCTCTGTCATTGACCACACCCCCTTTACCATAGACCACACCCCTTTCATTTATAGACCACGCCCCCTTTGTCATTGACCACGCCCCCTTGTCATTGACCACACCCCCCCTTTGTCATTGACCACACCCCTTTGTCATTGACCACACCCCTCCCTTGTCATTGACCACACCCCCTTTGTCATTGACCACACCCCCTTTGTCATTGACCACACCCCCTTGGCATTGGCCACACCCCCTTTGTCATTGACCACACCCCTCTGTCATTGACCACGCCTCCTTTGTCATTGACCACACCCCTTGGCATTGGCCACCTTTGTCATTGACCACACCCTTGGCATTGACCACACCCTTTGTCATTGACCACACCCCTTGGCATTGGCCACACCCCTTTGTCATTGACCACACCCCTTTGTCATTGACCACACCCCTTGTCATTGACCACACCCTCTGTCATTGACCACACCCCTTTGTCATTGACCACACCCCTTTGGCATTGACCACACCCTTTGGCATTGACCACACCCTTTGGCATTGACCACGCCCTTTGTCATTGACCACGCCCTTTGTCATTGACCACACCCCTTTGTCATTGACCACACCCCTTTGGCATTGACCACACCTCTTTGTCATTGACCACACCCTCTTGACCATTGACCACACCCCTTTGGCATTGACCACACCCCTTTGGCATTGACCACACCCCTTTGTCATTGACCACACCCCCTTTACCATTGACCACGCCCCCTTTGGCATTGACCACACCCCTTTGGCATTGACCACACCCCCTTTGGCATTGACCACACCCCTTTGGCATTGACCACACCCCTTTGTCATTGACCACACCCCTTTGTCATTGGTCACACCCCCTTTGTCATTGACCACGCCCCCTTTGTCATTGACCACACCCCCTTTGTCATTGACCACACCCCTTTGGCATTGACCACACCCCTTTGGCATTGACCACACCCCTTTGGCATTGACCACACCCTTTTGTCATTGACCACACCCCCTTTGTCATTGACCACACCCCTTTGTCATTGACCACGCCCTTTGTCATTGACCACACCCCTTTGTCATTGACCACACCCCTTTGTCATTGACCACACCCTTTGTCATTGACCACACCCCTTTGTCATTGACCACACCCCTTTGGCATTGGCCACACCCCCTTTGTCATTGACCACACCCCTTTGTCATTGACCTCACCTCTCTGGCATTGACCACGCCTCCTTTGTCATTGACCACACCCCCTTTGTCATTGACCACACCCCCTTTGTCATTGACCACGCCCCCTTTGGCATTGACCACGCCCCCTTTGTCATTGACCACGCCCCCTTTGTCATTGACCACCCCCCTTTGTCATTGACCACACCCCCTTTGTCATTGACCACACCCCCTTTACCATTGACCACGCCCCCTTTGTCATTGACCACACCCCTTTGGCATTGACCACACCCCTTTGGCATTGACCACACCCCCTTTGTTATTGACCACACCCCCTTTGTCATTGACCACACCCCTTTGTCATTGACCACACCCTTTGTCATTGACCACACCCTTTACCATTGACCACGCCCTTTGTCATTGACCACACCCCGCTGTCATTGACCACACCCTTTACCATTGGCCCGCCCTTTGTCGTTGACCACACCCCTTTGGCATTGACCACACCCCTTTGTCATTGACCACACCCCTCATTGACCACACCCCCTTTGTCGTTGACCACACCCCTTTGGCATTGACCACACCCCTTTGGCATTGACCACACCCCTTTGGCATTGGCCACACCCCTTTGGCATTGACCACACCCCTTTGGCATTGGCCACGCCCCCTTTGTCATTGACCACACCCCCTTTGTCATTGACCACCCCCCTCTGTCATTGACCACGCCCCCTTTGTCATTGACCACGCCCCTCTCTGTCATTGACCACACCCCCTTTGTCATTGACCACACCTCCTTTGTCATTGACCACACCCCTTTGTCATTGACCACACCCCTTTGTCATTGACCACACCCCTTTGTCATTGACCACGCCTCTTTGGCATTGACCACACCCCTTTGGCATTGACCACACCCCCTTTGTGGAGGCCACGCCCCCTTTTGAGCAGACCACGCCCTTTTTTTGTGACCCCTCCCCCCCCTTCCCAGGAGGCCCCGCCCAGGAACCGAACCCGCTACGACTGCGACCCCGTGGGCACCGGGTGAGGGGAGGGGCCAGAGGGGGAGGGGCCACGGGGTGGGGAGGAGCTAAAAGGTTGGGGAGGGGCTAAAGGGGTGGGGAGGAAGGTAAAGGGTGGGGTGGGGCTAAAATGGGGAGTGAGGGTGGGAGCTAAAAGGGTGAGAGTGAGAGGACTAAAATGGGGGTGGGGCTAAAGAGGGTGGGGAGAGATAAAGTGAGTGGGGGAGAGGCTAAAAGGGGTGGGGAGGGGCTAAAAGGGGTGGGAGGGGATAAAATGGGTGTGGGGAGGGGCTAAAATGGGTGTGGGAGGCGCTAAAGAGGCGGGGAGGAGGGGCTAAAGGGGGTGGGGAGGGCTGGAAGGGGTGAGGGAAGACCTAAATAAGGTGGGGAGGGGTCTAAAATGGGTGTGGGGAGAGGTGTTAAAATGGGTGTGGGGAGGAGGCCAAGAAGGTGTCTCTTAAGAGGGTGGGGCTTGGGTGGGTGGGGGGTGGGGTCCAAGGGGTGGAGCCTAAAGGGGTGTGTGTCCAGAGGGGTGGGGAGGGGCGTGGCCTCGGTGGGCGTGTCCTGGTGGTGCCAGCCCCTCCCCCGTGCCCAGGCGGTGCTTTTGGCCGACGTGGTGCCCGCCCTGCTCGTCAAGCTCCTCGTGCCCCTCGTGGGAGGGGTCCCTGAGGGGTAAAATGGGGGGAGGAGGGGAGGGTGGGGAGGGCAGGGTAACCTCACCTGTGCCCCTCCCCCGTTCCCTCAACAATTTCGGGTCTGGGGTGTCTTTAAGTGCCCCCTCCCCCCACACACACACACTGTCATTGTGTGCCCCTCCCCACTTTATCTGCCCCTCCCCGCCCCATTGTTTCCCCTCCCCTTCATCTGCCCCTCCCCCACCCCATTGTCTGCCCCTCCCCTTTTCTGCCCCTCCCACTTTAACTACCCCTCCCCACCCCACTTTTCCTTCCCCTCCCCACCCCACTTTGTCTGCCCCTCCCCTTCATCTGCCCCTCCCCAACCCAGTTTTACCTCCCCTCCCCTTCACCTGCCCCTCCCCACCCCATTGTCTGCCCTTCCCTTTGAGGCCCCTCCCCTTCACCTGCCCCTCCCCACCCCATTATCTGCCCCTCCCTTTGAGGTCCCTCCTCTTTCATCTGCCCCTCCCCACCCCAGTTTTCCTTCCCCTCCCCTTCACCTGCTCCTCCCCACCCTGTTGTCTGCCCCTCCCTTTGAGGCCCCTCCCCTTCATCTGCCCCTCCCCCACCCCCTCTATCTACCCCTCCCCACCTTTTTATCTGCCCCTCCCCCACCCCGCTTGGTCTGCCCCTCCCCTTTGAGACCCCTCTCCTTTAGTGCCCCTCCCCCAGCCATGACAGGTCCTCCCCCTCCCCACCCCTCCCCACCCCCTCACCCCTCCCCACCCTATGACGTCACTTTCCAGCCCCAGGGTGGTCCTGGTCTCTGCTCCTGGGGCAGCATCGCCCTCCTGGCCCCTCCCCTCCCTCAAACCCCTCCTCCCCCTCCCCCACTCCCTGATGCCCCTCCCCACCCTGTGACGTCACTTTGCAGCCCCAGGGTGGTCCTGGTCTCTCTCTGCTCCTGGGGCAGCCTCACCCTCATGGCCCCTCCCCTCCCTTCAGACCCCTCCCCTGCCCTCCCCCCACCCCCTCACCAGCCCCTCCCCACCCTGTGACGTCACTTTCCAGCCCCAGGGTGGTTTTGGTCTCTCTGCTCCTGGGGCAGCGTCGCTCTCCTGGCCCTCCTCCCTCAGACCCCTCCCCTCCCTCAGACCCCTCCCCCGCCCCTCCCCACCCCTTTAGCCCCTCCCCACCCTGTGACGTCACTTTTCAGCCCCAGGGTGGTTTTGGTCTCTCTGCTCCTGGGGCAGCGTCGCCCTCCTGGCCCCTCCTCCCTCAGACCCTCCCCTCCCTCAGACCCCTCCCCCTCCCTCCCCACCCCTGATGCCCCTCCCCACCCTGTGACGTCACTTTCCAGCCCCAGGGTGGTCCTGGTCTCTCTCTGCTCCTGGGGCAGCGTCGCCCTCGTGGCCTCGGCCTCGGGACCCACGGCCGGACTGGGGGTGAGGAGGGGGAGGGACCTGGGGGTGGGGAGGGGCCTGAGGGGGTGGGGGAGGGAATTGGAGGAGGAGGGAGGGGAATTGGGGAGGAGGGAGGGCCAAGAAAAGGGTGGGGAGGGGTGGGAGTGGGGAAAGGAAAGGAAAGGGGGTGGGGGAGGGGCGGGGGTCACTCAGGGGTCGTTTGGGGGGTCGTGGGGTGGTCACTCAGTGGTCACTCAGGGGTCACTCAGGGGTCAATCAGGGGTCAATCAGGGGTCAGTGGGTGGTCAGTGGGTGGTCAGTGGATGGTCAGTGGATGGTCAGTAGTGGTCAGTGGATGGTCAGTGGATGGTCAGTAGTGGTCAGTGGTCACTCAGTGGTCACTCAGGGGTCACTCGGGTCAGTGGGTGGTCAGTGGGTGGTCAGTGGGTGGTCAGTGGGTGGTCAGTAGATGGTCAGTGGATGGTCAGTGGTGGTCAGTGAGTGGTCAGTGGATGGTCAGTGGATGGTCAGTGGATGGTCAGTGGATGGTCAGTGGATGGTCAGTGGGTGGTCAGTGGATGGTCAGTGGATGGTCAGTAGTGGTCAGTGGGTGGTCAGTGGATGGTCAGTGGGTGGTCAGTGGATGGTCAGTGGATGGTCAGTAGTGGTCAGTGGGTGGTCAGTAGTGGTCAGTGGTCAGTGGGTGGTCAGTGGTCACTCAGTGGTCACTCTATCCCCAGGGGTGGCCGTGGGCAGTGCGGGGGCGGGGCTGGGTGAGGTCACTGAGGGGTCAGTGGATGGTCAGTAGATGGTCAGTAGTGGTCAGTAGTGGTCAGTGGGTGGTCAGTAGTGGTCAGTGGATGGTCAGTGGTGGTCAGTAGTGGTCAGTAGATGGTCAGTAGATGGTCAGTAGATGGTCAGTAGTGGTCAGTGGGTGGTCAGTGGATGGTCAGTGGATGGTCAGTAGATGGTCAGTAGATGGTCAGTGGGTGGTCAGTGGGTGGTCAGTGGATGGTCAGTGGATGGTCAGTGGGTGGTCAGTAGATGGTCAGTGGATGGTCAGTGGATGGTCAGTAGATGGTCAGTGGATGGTCAGTGGATGGTCAGTGGATGGTCAGTGGTTGGTCAGTAGATGGTCAGTGGATGGTCAGTGGATGGTCAGTGGATGGTCAGTAGTGGTCAGTAGTGGTCAGTGGATGGTCAGTGGATGGTCAGTGGATGGTCAGTGGATGGTCAGTGGATGGTCAGTAGATGGTCAGTGGATGGTCAGTAGATGGTCAGTGGTTGGTCAGTGGATGGTCAGTAGTGGTCAGTAGTGGTCAGTAGTGGTCAGTAGATGGTCAGTGGATGGTCAGTGGATGGTCAGTGGATGGTCAGTAGTGGTCAGTAGTGGTCAGTAGATGGTCAATGGATGGTCAGTAGATGGTCAGTGGATGGTCAGTGGGTGGTCAGTAGTGGTCAGTGGATGGTCAGTGGATGGTCAGTAGTGGTCAGTGGATGGTTAGTGGATGGTCAGTAGATGGTCAGTGGATGGTCAGTGGTTGGTCAGTAGATGGTCAGTGGATGGTCAGTGGATGGTCAGTGGATGGTCAGTGGATGGTCAGTAGATGGTCAGTGGATGGTCAGTGGTTGGTCAGTGGATGGTCAGTGGATGGTCAGTGGATGGTCAGTGGATGGTCAGTGGATGGTCAGTAGATGGTCAGTGGATGGTCAGTGGATGGTCAGTAGATGGTCAGTGGATGGTCAGTGGATGGTCAGTAGTGGTCAGTGGATGGTCAGTAGTGGTCAGTGGATGGTCAGTGGATGGTCAGTAGTGGTCAGTGGATGGTCAGTGGGTGGTCAGTGGGTGGTCAGTGGATGGTCAGTGGGTGGTCAGTAGTGGTCAGTGGGTGGTCAGTGGGTGGTCAGTGGATGGTCAGTAGTGGTCAGTGGTCACTCAGTGGTCACTCTATCCCCAGGGGTGGCCGTGGGCAGTGCGGGGGCGGGGCTGGGTGAGGTCACTCAGGGGTCACTCAGGGGTCAGTAGATGGTCAGTAGATGGTCAGTGGATGGTCAGTGGGTGTTCAGTGAGTGGTCAGTGGTCACTCTATCCCCAGGGGTGGCCGTGGGCAGTGCGGGGGCGGGGCGGGGTGAGGTCACTTTCCTCAGCCGGGCGGCCTCCGGACACAGGTACGGAGGGGAGGAGGCAATCTGGGGGTCTGGGGTCAATTTATGGGTCTGGGGTTGTCTGGGGGTCTCTGAGGGTCTCTGGGGTCAATTTACCGGTCTGAGGGTCAATCTGAGGGTCAGGGGAGTCCTGGAGGGGTCTCTGGGGGTCACTTTAGGGGTCAGGGGTCAATTTGGGGTCAATCTAGGGGTCTCTGGGGTCAGAGATCAATCTGGGGGTCTGGGGGTCCCTGGGGTCTTGGGGGTCAGGGGGTCCTTGGGAAGGTCCTTGGGGGTCACTGTGGGGGTCGGGGAGGGGTAACCCTGGGGTCTCCAGGGATCAATTTGGGGTCAGGGGATCAATCTAGGGGGTCCTGGGGGTCAGGGGTCATTTTGGGGGTCTGGGGGTCTCTGGAGGTCAATTTGTGGGTCTGGGGGGTCAATCTGGGGGTCAGGGGGTCCTGGGGGGGTCTCTGGGGTCACTTTATGGGTCTGGGGTCAATTTGGGGGTCAATCTAGGGGTCTCTTGGGTCAGGGTCAATCTGGGGGTCTGGGGGTCCTGGGGGTCTTGGGGTCAGGGGTCCTTGGGAAGGTCTCTTGGGGGTCACTTTAGGGTCTGGGGCGGTAACTCTGGGGGCTCAGGATCAATTTACGGGTCTGGGGGATCAATCTAGGGGTCCTAGAGGTCAATTTGGGGTCAAGGGTCTCTGGAGGTCACATTTGTGGGTCTGGGGGGTCAATCTGGGGGTCAGGGGGTCTGGGGGGTCTTGGGGTCACTTTATGGGTCTGGGGGTCAATTTGGGGTCAAGGAGCTCTGGGGTCAATCTGAGGTCAGGAGTCTGTGGATCTGGGGTCAATCTGGGGGTCTCTGGGGTCAATCCTGGGGGTCAGGGGTCAATTTACGGCTCTGGGGGTCAATCTGGGGGTCAGGGGTCAATCAGGGGGTCCCTGGGGGTCTCTGGGGTCAGGGGTCAATCTGGGGTCAATCTGGGGTCAGGGGTCAATCAGGGGGTCCTGGGGTCAATCCGGGGTCAGGGGTCAATTTACGGCTCTGGGGGGTCAATCTGGGGGTCAGGATCAATCAGGGGGTCCTGGGGTCACTCTGGGGTCAGGGGTCAATCTGGGGGTCAATCTGGGGGTCAGGGGTCAATCAGGGGGTCTCTGGGGGTCAATTTACAGGTGGGAGGGTCCCAAACCCTCCCCACCCCACCCCACCCCATTTTTGCCCTCCTCCCCAGCTCGGGGCTCTCCTATTGGGCGTCGGGCACGGGCGTGGCCGGGTGGGCGGGGCTTTGTGGCTGTGGGGGTTGGGGCTCTGCTGCCCCTCCCCACGCCCTGCTGCCCGCCCTGGCCCTGCCCCCCACCATGCTCTGCAGGTACCGGGGGAGGGGCTGGAAATGGGGGAGGGGCTGAAAGATGGGGGAGGGGCTTGGAAATGGGGGAGGGGCTGAAAGAATGGGGAGGGGATTGGAAATGGGGGAAGGGCTGAAAGAATGGGGAGGGGCTTGGAAATGGGGAGAGGATTGGAAATGGGGGAGGGGCTTGGAAATGGGGAATTGGAAATGGAGGGGCTGAAAAGTGGGGAGGGGCTGAAAAGTGGGGGAGGGGCTGAAAAGAAAGGGAGGAGGGAGGTTTAAAGGAAGGGAGGGGCTTGGAAATGGGGAGGGCTTGGAAATGGGGGAGGGCCTTGAAAATTGGGGAGGGGCTTTAAAGGGGTTGGGATTGTGGGGAGGGTCTAAAAATGGGGTGGGGCTGTGGGGAGGGGCTGGGAAGTGGGGAGGAGATTTTGGGATGGGGAGGGGCTTGGAAATGGGGAGGGGCTTGAAAATTGGGGGAGGAGCTTTAAAGGGTTGGGATTATGGGGAGGGGCTGGAGGTGGGGGTGGGTGATTTTGGGGTGGGGGGAGGGGCTTGAAATAGGGGTGGGGGTGCGGGGAGGGGCTGGAGGTGGGGGTGGGCGATTTTGGGGTGGGGAGGGGCTTGAAAATGGGGTGGGGCTTAAAAATAAGGGTGGGGCCCTGGGGAGGAGCTAAAATGGGGAGGGGTTCCTCTCACCCTCCCCACCATTTTTTCCAGCTACTTCTTCCTGCTCCGCCTCCTCACCGCCCTCCCCTGCCGAGCCCCTGCCCCTCCCCGGGGTGGGGACAGGAGGGAGGTGGGGTGGTCAAGGTGAGGGGAGGGGCTTTTAAAGGGGTGGGGGAGGGGTTTAGGGGTGGGGGAGGGGCCAGGTGAGATCCTGCCCCTCCCCACCCCGTGGGAAAACGCTGAGGGAGGAGGGGGTTGGGAAGGAGAGGGGGAGGGGCTCTGGGTTGGGGGAGGGGCTTTGGAAGGTGGGGAGGGCCAAAAACGGGGAGGGGAGGGGCTTATTTGGGGAGGGGCTGAAAGGGGTGGGGGAGGGGCCCCATTTTGGGGAGGGGTCAATTTGGGGAAGGGCTTTGGAGGGGTGGGGAGGGTCAAAATGTTGGGGGAGGGGCCAAAAGGGGTGGGGGAGGGTCCTGATTTGGGGAGGGGTTCATTGATGCGTGGGGGAGGGGCCAAAAAGTTTGGGGAGGGGTCAAAGTTGGGTGGGGAGGGAGCTTGAATTGGGGGCTTTTGCAGAGTGGGGGAGGGGCCGTGCCTGACCTCGCCTCCTCCTCCCTGCCCCTCCCCACAGAGCGCCCTGAGGGTCAGGGCCCCTGGGGGTCGTTTATTTCGCCGAGTATTTCGTCAACCAGGGGCTGGTGGGTGGGGAGGGGCTGGGGGTGGGGAGGGGCTGGTGGGGAGGGGTCAATGGAGGTGGTGGGGAGGGGGAGGAGGAATTTTGGGGAGGAGTTGGGGGAGGGGCAAAATCTTGAGGGGTTGGGGGTGGGGAGGGGTCAGAGGAGTGGGGAGGGGCAGAGGGTAAGGGAGGGGTCAGAAGGAAGGGGGAGGGGCAGGAGGTGGGGAAGGGGTCAGAGGAGTGGGGAGGGGTCTGAGGGGTGGGGGAGGGGTAATTACAGGGGAGGGATCAATGGAAAGGGGGAGGGGCTGCTGGGTGGGGAGGGGCGACGAGAGTTGTGGGTGGGGAGGGCATCTTTGGAGTGGGGAGGGGTTTGGGGAGGCAGAGGGAGGGGGAGGGGCGACCCCTCCCCACTCAAACCTTGTACCCTTCCCCCTCCCCCCACAGCTGGAGCTGCTCTACTTCCCCTCCTCGCCCCTCCCCCACACCGCCCAGTACCGCACGTGAGTCGGGGAGGGGAGGGCGTGGGTGGGATGGCCCCTCCCCACCCCGTGGGCCCTCCCCACCTGTAAGAGCCCCTCCCCAGGCTGCAGCTCTGTTACCAGGTGGGGTGTTCCTGTCCCCTCCCCACCCTGTGCCCCTCCCCCAGGCTGCAGCTCTGTTACCAGGTGGGGGTGTTCCTGTCCCCTCCCCCTCTCTAACAGCCCCTCCCCACCCTGTGCCCCTCCCCAGGCTGCAGCTCTGTTACCAGGTGGGGGTGTTCCTGTCCCCTCCCCCTCTCTAACAGCCCCTCCCCACCCTGTGCCCCTCCCCAGGCTGCAGCTCTGTTACCAGCTGGGGTGTTCCTGTCCCCTCCCCTCTCTAACAGCCCCTCCCCACCCTGTGCCCCTCCCCCAGGCTGCAGCTCTGTTACCAGGTGAGGGTGTTCCTGTCCCCTCCCCTCTCTAACAGCCCCTCCCCACCCTGTGCCCCTCCCCAGGCTGCAGCTCTGTTAGCCAGCTGGGGTGTTCCTGTCCCTCCCCTCTCTAACAGCCCCTCCCCACCCTGTGCCCCTCCCCCAGGCTGCAGCTCTGTTACCAGGTGGGGGTGTTCCTGTCCCCTCCCCTCTCTAACAGCCCCTCCCCACCCTGTGCCCCTCCCCCAGGCTGCAGCTCTGTTACCAGCTGGGGGTGTCCCTGTCCCTCCCCTCTCTAACAGCCCCTCCCCACCCTGTGCCCCTCCCCAGGCTGCAGCTCTGTTACCAGGTGGGGGTGTTCCTGTCCCCTCCCCTCTCTAACAGCCCCTCCCCACCCTGTGCCCCTCCCCAGGCTGCAGCTCTGTTACCAGCTGGGGTCTTCGTGTCCCGCTCGTCCTCGCGCTGCCTCCGCCTGCGGCGCCTCGAGGGCTGGCCCTGATACAGGTGAGGCCCTCCCCCTCTGACCCCTCCCCACCCCCAGGACTGACCCCAAATTGACCCCTGAGTGACTCCCCCAAAGCGGTCTTTGAATGACCCCAAAGTGACCCCCAAAATGACCTTTGAGTGACCCCAAAATGACCCCCAAAATGACCTTTTAGTGACCCCAAAATAACCTCCAGAATGACCCCCAAAATGACCTTTTAGTGACCCAAAATGACCCCTAAAATGACCCCCAAAATGACCTTTTAGTGACCCCAAAGTGACCCCCAAAGTGACCTTTAAGTGACCCCAAAGTGACCTTTAAATGACCCCAAACTGACCTTGGAGTGACCCAAAAAATTGACCCCAAGCTGACCTTTGAATGACCCCAAAGTGACCTCTGAGTGACCCCAAAACTGACCTTGGAGTGACCCCAAAATTGAGCTTTGAGTGACCCCAAAGTGGCCTTTAAATGACCCCAAAATTGAGCTTTGAGTGACCCCAAAGTGGCCTTTAAATGACCCCAAAATTGACCCCTGAGTGACCCCTGAATGCCCCCAACCTGCCCCTCCCCCTCTCCCTTTAACCCCGCCCCCATTCCCAAGCCCCACCCCCTGACCTTGGCCCCGCCCCAGGTGCTGAACGCTGCTTTCCTATTGGCTGCCGTGCTCTGGCCCCTCCTCCTCGCTGGGCGTGGCCGCCGTGCTGGTGGTGGGGAGGGGCTGGTGGGGAGGGGCCTACGCCAACACCTTCCTCAACCTGGCCCAGCAGGTGAGGGGAGGGACAGAGGAGGGTGGGGAGGGGCTGGGGGAGGGACACAAGGAGGGTGGGGGAGGGGCTAAAATGAGGGAGGGGACAAAGGAGGGTGGGGAGGGGCTGAGGAGGGCCACAGAGGAGGGGAGGGCTGGGGAGGGCAAAGGAGGAGGAGGGAGGAGGACCAGAACAGAGAAGGAGGGGCCAGAAAGAGGGGAGAGGCTGGGAGAGGAGGGGTCAGAGGAGGGGAGGGGCTTGTTGGGAAGGGGAGGGGAAAATGGAAGGGAGGGGTCAGGTAGCAGGGGAGGAGCTGGAGGGGAAGGGGAGGGGCCAGGTGGGAGGGGAGGGGCCAGGGAGGGACTGGGGAGGGGAGGGGCTTGTTGGGAGGAGGAGGAGCGGAGGGGGGGAGGCTGGAGGAGAGGAGAGGGACCAGAAGGGGAGGGAGGGGCCAAGTGGGTGAGAGGGGGAGGGTCCAGGTGGGAGGGGGAGGGGGGACCTTGACCCCTCAGGTGACCCCAAATGACCCCAAATGACCCCTGACCCTCCCAAATGACCCTTAAATGACCCCCAGGTGACCCCAAATGACCCCTGACCCTCCCAAATGACCCCCAGCTGACCCCAATTGACCCCCAAATGACCCCAATGACCCCCAAATGACTCCCAGATGACCCCCAATGACCCCCAATGACCCCTGACCCTCCCAAATGACCCCCAGATGACCCCAAATGACTCCAAATGACCCCAAAATGACCCCGAGATGACCCTTAAACGACCCCAGGTGACCCCAAATGACCCAAACATGACCCCGAATGCCCCCAGGTGACCCCAAAATGACCCTGAGATGACCCTTAAACGACCCCAGGTGACCCCAAATGACCCAAACATGACCCCCAATGCCCCCAGATGACCCCAAATGACCCCCAGGTGACCCCAGGTGACCCCAAATGACCCAAACATGACCCCAGGTGCCCCCAGATGACCCCAAATGACCCCCAGATGACCCCAGGTGACCCCAGATGACCCTTAAACGACCCTAGATGACCCCAATGACCCCAAACCACCCCCAAATGACCCCCAGGTGACCCCAGGTGACCCCAGATGACCCTTAAATGACCCCCAGATGACCCCAAATGACCCCAAACCACCCCCAAATGACCCCCAGGTGACCCCAGATGACCCCAGATGACCCCTAAATGACCCTTAAATGACCCCAGGTGACCCCAGATGACCCCAGGTGACCCCAAATGTCCCCCAGGTGACCCCAGATGACCCTTAAATGACCCCCAGATGACCCCAGGTGACCCCAACTGACCCCTGTGTCCCTTTGCCCTCAGGTGCCCGGGCAGGGTCAGTCGCTGGCCGTGGCTCTGGTCACTCTGCTGGACGAGGTGGCCGTGGCTGCGGCCGGAGGGGTCGCCCTGGGGGCACACGGGGGGTTCTGCCGCCAACTGACCACTCACTGACCACTGAGTGACCACCAACTGACCACTGAGTGACCACTGACCATGAGTGACCACTGAGTGACCACTGAGTGACCACTGACCATGAGTGACCACTGAGTGACCACTGAGTGACCATGGAGTGACCACACAGTGACCATGAGTGACCACTGAGTGACCACTGAGTGACCACTGACCGGAGGGGTCGCCCTGGGGGCACACGGGGGGTTCTGCCGCCAACTGACCACTCACTGAGTGACCAACTGACCACAACTGACCACTCAGTGACCACTGAGTGACCACTGAGTGACCAACTGACTGCTGAGTGACCACACAGTGACCACTGACCATGAGTGACCATCCACTGACTACTGAGTGACCACTGACCATGAGTGACCACCCAGTGATCTCTGAGTGACAACTGACTGGAGGGGTCGCCCTGGGGGCACACGGGGGGTTCTGCCGCCAACTGACCATTCACTGACCACTGAGTGACCACCAACTGACCACTGAGTGACCACTGAGTGACCACTGATCACTGAGTGACCACTGAGTGACCACTGACCACTCACTGACCACTGAGTGACCACTGAGTGACCATGGAGTGACCACTGACCACTGAGTGACCACTGAGTGACCACACAGTGACCACTGAGTGACCACTGAGTGACCACTGACCACTCACTGACCACCCAGTGACCACTGAGTGACCACTGAGTGACCAACTGACTGCTGAGTGACCACACAGTGACCACTGAGTGACCAGGAGTGCCCACTGACCTGGAGTGACCACTGACCATGAGTGACCATTCAGTGACCATCCACTGACCACTGAGTGACCACTGACCATGAGTGACCCCCCAGTGACCACACAATGACCACTGAGTGACCACCCAGTGATCTCTGAGTGGCCACTGACCATGAGTGACCCCCCAGTGACCATCCACTGACCACTGAGTGACTACTGACCATGAGTGACCCCCCAGTGACCACTGAGTGACCACTGACCATGAGTGACCACCCAGTGACCATCCACTGGCCACTGAGTGACCACTGACCACGAGTGACCATTCAGTGACCATCCACTGACCACTGACCATGAGTGACCACCCAGTGATCTTTGAGTGACCTCTGAGTGACCACTGAGTGACCACCCAGTGACCACCCAGTGACCACTGACCATGAGTGACCACTGAGTGACCGCTGAGAGATCATGGACTGAGTGACCACTGAGTGACTGCTGAGTGACCAAGAGTGACCACCCAGTGACCCCTGAGTGACCAGGAGTGACCAGGAGTGACCACTGAGTGACCACTGAGTGACCACTGACCATGAGTGACCATTCAGTGACCACTCACTGACCACTGAGTGACCAACTGACCACTGAGTGACCACCGAGTGACCACTGAGTGACCAGGAGTGACCCCTGAAGTGACTACCAACTGACCACTGAGTGACCACTGACCATGAGTGACCACCCAGTGACCACCCAGTGACCCCTGAGTGACCACTGAGTGACCAGTGAGTGACCACTGAGTGACCACTGACCATGAGTGACCACCCAGTGACCACCCACTGACCACTGAGTGACCACTGAGTGACCACTGACCATGAGTGACCACCCAGTGACCACACACTGACCACTGAGTGACCACCAACTGACCACTGAGTGACCACTGAGTGAGCATTGAGTGACCCCAGAGTGATCTGAGTGACCACTGAGTGACCACTGACCATGAGTGACCATTCAGTGACCATCCACTGACCACACAGTGACCTTTCAGTGACCACTGAGTGACCACTGAGTGACCACTGACCATGAGTGACCATTCAGTGACCATCCACTGACCACTGAGTGACCACTGACCATGAGTGACGATTCAGTGACCCCGGAGTGACCAGGAGTGACCAGGAGTGACCACTGACCATGAGTGACCCCTGAGTGACCCCTGAGTGACCACTGAGTGACCACTGACCATGAGTGACCACCCAGAGACCACCCAGTGACCACTGAGTGACCACCAACTGACCACTGAGTGACCACTGAGTGACCCCTGAAGTGACCACTGAGTGACCACTGAGTGACCACTGACCATGAGTGACCCCCCAGTGACCACCAACTGACCACTGAGTGACCCCTGAAGTGACCACGAGCTGCCCCCCCCCATGGGGTGGGAAAGGGAAGGAAAAAACAAAAAAAGGGAAATCAAATAAAATTTAAAAACCTGAAATGAAAGAATTTGGGAGTTTTTGGGCTTAAAAAAGAGGGGTTTGGGTCAAGAAAGGGGGAGTTTTTTTGGGATAAAGGAGAAAATTGGGATGGAAAAATGGGGAATTTTGGGGGAAAATTGGGAGTTTGGGGGAAAAAATTGGGAATTTGGGGGAAAATTGGGAGTTTGGGGGGGAAATTGGGAATTTTGGGGAAAATTGGGAATTTGGGGGGGAAATTGGGAATTTGGGGGAAAAATGGGAATTTGGGGGAAAATTGGGAATTTGGGGGGAAAAATGAGGAATTCTGGATGAAAAAAGGGGGAATTTTGAGGAGAAAGAGGAATTTTGGGGGGAAAAGAGGGAATTGGGAATAAAAAAAGAGGAATTTTGGGGGAAAAGGGAATTTTAGAGGAAGAAAGGGGGAGTTTGGGTTAAAAATTGGGAATTTGGGGAGGGAAAAGGGATTTTTTGGGGGAAAAAGAGGGGTTTGGGTCGATTTTTTGGGGGGGAAAAAGGGGGATTTGGTTAAAAAAGGGAAATTTGAGGGGGAAAAGGAGAAATTTGGGATAAAAAAGGGAGGGTTTGAGGGTTAAATGTTACATTTTGGGGGTAAACTGGGCTGGTTTGGGGTAAAACGAGGGATTTGGGTTAAAAACGGGGAATTTTGGGGTAAAAATGGGGGATTTGGGGGTAAAATGGTGGATTTTGGGGGCAGAAATTGATCATTTTGGGATAAAACGGGGAATTTTGGGGTAGAAATTGAAAATTTTGGGATAAAATGGGAAATTTTGGGGGAGAAATTGATGATTTTGGGATAAAATGGGAATTTTGGGGGAGAAAGTGATGATTTTGAGATAAAACGGGGGATTTGAGGGTAGAAATGGGGGGTTTGGGGATTAAAATGGGGGATTTTGGGATTAAAATGGGGGATTTTGGGGTAAAAATGAGGAATTTTGGGGATAAAACGGGAGATTTTGGGGACCAAACGGGGGTTTAGGGACAAAAAGGGGATTTTGGGGACAAAACGGGAGATTTTTGGGACCAAAAAAAGGGGATTTTGGGACAAAAAGGGGGGATTTTGGGGGGGGGGGAAATCGAATTTTTGGGGGTGAAAACGTCGAATTTTGGGGTGAAAAAAATCGAATTTTGGGGGGTAAAAAGTCGAATTTTGGGGTGAAAATCGCAGATTTTTGGGTGAAAAAATCGAATTTTTGGGGGTGAAAACGTCAAATTTCGGGGTAAAAATCGTGGATTTTGAGGTGAAAATCGCGGATTTCGGGGTTAAAAGAGGCCCCTCCCCTTTCCGGACTCGTTTTCCCGTCGATCCCCGCGGAACAGGAAGTGACGTCACAACTTAGTGTCGTAATTTCCGACTGTGACGTCACTTCCCTTTTCCGCCCGATCGGCGCCGGCAGCTCCGCGTGTGAGGAGGGGGGGGAGGGGCGGCTTTTTTGGGGCGTTTTGGGGGGTTTTGGGGAGTTTTGAGGGGTGGGGAGGGGCGGGAGGTGGGGGAGGGGCTTGGGGGGTTGGGGGTGGGGAGGGATTTTTCCAGGGGGTTTTGGGGAGGGGAGGAATGGGGGAGGCCCAAAATTGGGGGGGTTTGGGGGGGGGAAAATTGAGATTTTTGGGGTAAAAATTGACGGGTTCGGGGTAAAAAATCCGGGGGGGTTGGGAGGTAAAAATTGGAGAATTTTGGGGTAAAAATTGGTATTTTTGGGTGGGTAAAAATTGATGTTTTGGGGGGTGAAAATTGGTGGGGTTTGGGTAAAAGAATTGATGATTTAGGGAGGTAAAAATTGGTATTTTTGGGAGAGTAAAAGTTTATAATTTTGGTGTAAAAATTGGTGGGTTTGGGGGGTAAAAATTGATATTTTTGGGGAAAAAATTGATATTTTGGGGGGGAAAAATTGATGGGTTTTGGGTAAAAAATTGATGATTTGGGGGGTAAAAATCGGTATTTTTGGGGGGGTAAAAGTTTCTCTTTTGGGAGTAAAAATCGCTGGGTTTGGGGGGTAAAAATTGACGGGTTTGGGGTAAAAAATCCGGGGGGGTTGGGAGGTAAAAATTGGAGATTTTTGGGGTAAAAATTGGTATTTTTGGGGGGGTAAAAGTTTCTATTTTTTGGGTAAAAATCGGTGGGTTTGGGAGGTAAAAATTGATATTTTTAGGGGGTAAAAATGGATGTTTTTTGGGACAAAAATCGCTGGGTTTGGGGAGGTAAAAATTGATATTTTTGGGGGGTAAAAGTTTGTGGATTTTGGGTAAAAATTGTGGGTAAAAATTGATATTTTTTGGGGTAAAAATGGATGGGTTTGGGGAGGTAAAAATTGATATTTTTGGGAGTAAAAATTGATGTTTTTTGGGGCAAAAATCGCTGGGTTTTGGGGGGTAAAAATTGGAATTTGGGGGGTTAAAATTTGACCATTTCTGGGCTAAAAATCGACATTTTTGGGGTAAAAACTGAGGGTTCTGGGGCAAAAAAACGCTCGATTTTGGTCAATTCTTGGGTAAAAATTGACATTTTTGGGGTAAAAAGTGGTCAATTTTGGGGTCGAACCAGATGATTTTGGGGCTAAAAATCGACATTTTTGGGGTAAAACCATCGAATTTTGGGGTGGAAAGGTGGGATTTTGGGGTAAAAAAGTGAATTTTTGGGGTAAAAAGGTGGAATTTTGGGGTAAAAAGGGGCCATTTTGGTTGATTTTCGGGTAAAAAAGTGAATTTTTGGGGTGTAAAGGTGAATTTTTGGGGTAAAAACCGGTTGTTTTGGTTGATTTTGGGGTGTAAAGGTGGGATTTTGGGGTAAAAAGGGACCGTTTGGGGTGATTTTGGGGTAAAAAAGTGAATTTTTGGGGTGTAAAGGTGGAATTTTGGGCTAAAAAGGGGCTGTTTTGGGCAATTTTGAGGTGTAAAGGTGGGATTTTGGGGTAAAAAGGGACCGTTTGGGGTGATTTTGGGGTAAAAAAGTGAATTTTTGGGGTGTAAAGGTGGGATTTTGGGGTGTAAAGGTGAATTTTTAGGGGTAAAAAGGGACCATTTTGGGTGTAAATGTGGAATTCTGGGGTAAAATGGGATTTTGGGGTAAAAAGGGGCTGTTTTGGGTGATTTTGGGGTGTAAAGAAGAAGTTTTGGGGTGTAAAGGTGAATTTTTGGGGTAAAAACCGGTTGTTTTGGTTGATTTTGGGGTGTAAAGTTTGAATTCTTGGGGTGTAAAGGTGGAATTTTGGAGTGTAAAGGTGAATTTTGGGGTAAAAAGGGGCGGTTTTGGTTGATTTTGGGGTAAAAAAGTGAATTTTTGGGGTGTCAAGGTGGAATTTTGGGGTAAAAAGGGGCCGTTTTTGGCAATTTTTGGGGTGTAAAGGTGGAATTTTGGGATGTAAAGGTGGAATTTTTGGGATGTAAATGTGGAATTCTGGGGTAAAAAAGTGGGATTTTGGGGTAAAAAGGGGCCGGTTTGGTTGATTTTGGGGTGTAAATGTGGAATTTGGGGGTGTAAATGTGGAATTTGGGGCTGTAAATGTGGAATTTTGGGGTGTAAATGTGGGATTTTGGGGGTGACCTTTTCCCCCCCCCCAGGCGATTTGGGAGCCGCCCCTCCCCCACCATGTCGCGATTCTTCACCACCGGCTCCGACAGCGAATCCGAGTCCTCGGCCTCGGGGGAGGAGCCCCAGGCCAAGACCCCGGGGGCAAACTACAGCAAGTGGGGAGGGCACTAATGCTAATTAGTGTTAATGAATGCTAATTAGTGTGGGGGAGGGGCAGTGATTGATGGGGGAGGGGTAAATGGTGGGGGAGGGGCAGGGAATGAGGGGGGAGGAGCCCCAGGCCAAGACCCCGGGGGGCAACTACAGCAAGTGGGGGAGGGGCTAATTAGTGTTAATTAGTGCTAATTAATGCTAATTACTGAAGGGGAGGGGTTAAAGCGTGGGGAGGGGCAGTGATTGATGGGGGAGGGTAAATGGTGGGGGAGGAGCCCCAGGCCAAGACCCCGGGGGGCAACTACAGCAAGTGGGGGAGGGGCTAATTAGTGTTAATTAATGTTAATTAATGCTAATTAGTGGAGGGGGAGGGGCAGTGGTTGATGGGGGAGGGGTAAATGGTGGGGAGGGGCAGGGAATGGTGGGGGAGGAGCCCCAGGCCAAGACCCCGGGGGGCAACTACAGCAAGTGGGGAGGGGCTAATTAATGCTAATTAGCGCTAATTAATGCTAATTACTGAAGGGGAGGGGCTAATAACCCGGGAGGAGGGGCTAAGAGTGGGGAGGGGCAAAACCCCAGGGGAGGGGAAATGAATAAAGGGGGAGGGGCAACCACAGCGAGTGGGGGAGGGGCAGGGAGTGAGGGGCTACAGGGTGGGGGAGGGGCAAAGAAATAAGAGGGGAGGGGCAGGGAAATAAAAGGGGAGGGGCAAGGAATAAAGAGGGAGGGGTGAACGATGGGGAGGGGTCTGTGGCCCTCCTCACCCGCCCTCCCCACCCTCCCAGGCCCCTCCTGCTGAGCGGAGGATGAGGAGGACACAAAAGGGTCGTCCGGAGCGCCCGAGATAAAAGGTGGGGGAGGGGCCCTGGGGGTGGGGAGGGGCTTTGGGGGGACTTGGGGGGTCCTTCTGCCCCCAAACTCTCTCTTTTCTACCCCAAAATCCCCCATTTCTACCCAGAAATCCCCCATTTCCACCCCAAAATCCCTCATTTCAATGCTAAAATCCCATTT